TTACAATTTCAAACACCTGCAGTCCAATTTTTTCTTAGAAATGCGTGAAATGCAGGGAATGGGCGATTTTGGGGTGGTTTAGGGGTATTAGCAGATCAAATTACTGCGTGGCTTGGGTTGGTCAAATAAATAGGATTTAATATGTGTGTTCATGGTCTTTTTCTTGTAACCGGCTGAAGTGTAAAGTACGGCTTGTCTTGAAATATTTTGTGATACCTTAATCATTACTGTGTGATTTTGCTTTGTTATATCAGGTGAGGTATTTGCTTTATTCAATTAATCTATAAATGTGTGTCACTTTAATGTAGATGGTAACCCTTTACTTATGTACTTACTGAATTCAATCACTTGTACCTTTAATGTGTAACCTTTGTTGGTATTGGCAATCATGTTTCATTGTCGGTAGGGCTGTATCTGTGCTGTACATACTTGCATATGTACATATTTAATTTGTGTATTGTGCTTTTTAGTCACTCTCGATTATTCCATTGCATTTCATTATATTTGCTTATTTGGGACTGTGAGTAATCAAGAGGGAAGTGTGCTTGTTTAGAGGGGATCGAGCTATTCGAGTTTATACGGCCTTGGTGAACCTAACACTAACATTTTCACTCGTTCCGAACCCAACAACTTTAGCCCAGGTTTACAGGGACCCCACTGGGCGTGAGTACTCCTCCCGCCCGGCGAGGTATATTTGACATCTCTTAGTTTTGTCCGATGTATGTGTTGTAATACCTGGGGAATGGCTCGATCCCATTTTGGTTACTCACAGCGTGTTTGTAGTAGTTACCCCGGTTTCAAGAGGATTCAAAAGTGCTGTACATTAGATGTTGTTCATTATAGGACTACTCCGAATTAGGTTTTCCTGCAGTTTTCCTAATTCGTAAGGTAAATGCCGGAGTAGTATAGAACCACTTAAGACCCTCTGCAGGGGCACCGTTTTGGTATTAGCTGCAATATAAACTTAATCAACTATTGCTTTTGGTGTCCCTTACCCATAAAACGCCCTCAGTGCCTGCTGAGAACCCAGTTATTACACAACGTAGGTGTCCTACATGACGATCACGACCTTAGTGCATTCGGAGTGGCCCCCGAGTGACGGATTCTCGCGGGAAACTTAAGCGAGAATATTCAAATAGGCAGCCATGTTAGTTTGGCATTCCCAATACTACAGAACATGGTCAAATATTCCGGTGTGACCTGAAGTTGGTGTTAGCCCGCCAAGATAGTAGGAGGCTAGGATCATCACAATGTGTAACCCTTAGAGAAGGAAAGAGTGAGGAGTGATAATAATGATCGTAAAGTGAAGCCCACATTTGTTTATTATTTCACCGAAAACTAACCTATAATTTATATACCTGTGAAACGATGTACTTTCGTGTGTTTTTTAACTATCACTTCCGTGCACTACAATGTACCATTGTCCAATAATGTTTTTAATCGCGTTTTTAGTCTATCCATGGACTATGATAAAAGAAAAACATAGTCCTTGGCTACTTAGGCTAGTTCTCATGGCATCCGATGTCCGCCATCCGATTCGGAAATTTTTTATCGGATAAAAAATATGCCAGAGTTCACATGCGTCCGAATTTCGCAAAATGTTTTAGTGACAAATCGAGGGAAACTTCACCGAATTTTAGTGTCGTTGTTAAATAATGGCACACCTGCGTGTTTTGATAGTCAAACCTCAAATTTATGTATTTCTATTTTAGTATTCTTCGGATTTCATTTCACATTCAGAAAATCAGAAGTTACATTTACGTTATATAAGTACTTTTTGTGGCAAAAGTTGTAATATTCAATGTTAAAAAATTCAATTTTTAAAATTTTCAACCAATAGGAACACTTTCGGATCGTCGGACGTCGGACGCCAAACAGAATCTTTATAATTAATTTTTTCGGTAGAATAATCGTGTCACATGATTTAGATGCAGAATTTATATCTCTATAACTTTTATTTGAAGTATTTTTGCGTAAAATAATTACGAAACGTTTGCGCAAAGAAAAAGTAATTTCCCATGTTAAACGCATATGTTCCACTTTTCGATTTACACCCTGTACATAGTTACATGTGTCCCACTGTTTGTGTATCGTACTGTTTAGTCACTCTAGATTATTTCACTGCATTTCATTACGAGTATATTTGCTTATTTGGGGCTGTGAGTAATCAAGAGGGAAGTGTGCTTGTTTAGAGGGGATCGAGTTATTCAAGTTTATACGGGCCTTGGTGAACCTAGCACTAACATTTTCACTAGTTCCGAAACCCAACAACTTTAGCCCACGTCTACAGGCACCCACTGGCCCTGGGTAATCCTACCGCCTGGCGAGGCACATTTAATACCTCTTAGTTTTGTCTGATGTATGTGTTGTAATACCTGGGGAATGGCTCGATTCCATTTTGGATACTCATAGCTTGTATGTAGTATTTACCCCTGTTTGTCGAGAGGGCTCAAAAGTGCTGCACATTAGATGTTAGCTGTAGGCGTTGTTCATTATAGGGCTACTTCGAATTAGGTTTTCCTGCAGTTTTCCTTATTCGTAAGGTAAATGCCGGAGGAGTATAGAATCACTAATGTCTATATCTTTTTTTTTGTAATTTCCGGAGGATGTTTGGGATTTGGGGGCTTGGCGTCACTTATTGATTGTTAAAGCTTGTTGGTGGAATTATTGTATTTTGAGTTGTATTAGTTTAGCTTTGTTTTTGGTGTTTGTGCGTAGGATTTAACAACTTTGGTGTCGGGTAAAATATTTTATGTAGTTTACTCTTGTGTAGGTACTTATATGAATTGTGCCTTTTGTTAAATCAGATATTTTCCAACTACCATTATGCTAATATGTAATTTATAACATGCGAGGTGTTAACTAATATCCATGTGCTTGTGGAAGTCTACGATATCTCAGGTTTAGACCACGTTTAACTCAGTTACACGGTGCACGGGGGTGTATCTATGTAGAACCTCGACTTCCGGGAAGTAGGGCATGCCATGCTAGGTGTATTTAGTTTAAGGTGACTCGTAACATTCGCGAATGCGTGTGCCTTGTTGTATGTAACTCATATCTTTCTACCGTGAGAGGGAGCTCGGACGCTAGAATAGAAAGGTATTCTAGAGCTAAGGCATAAAAGGATCTGAGGGCCCTCGAATCTCCAACTTTAGGGACGAAGTGCTGTAACCAAGGCCGTCCTACCCATGGGCGGCGACCCATCTCTTAACCATCTTCAGTTTTGTGTCGTTACGTGACCGATGTCAGGGGAGTTACGAAGCACAGGTAGTAGTTCCGGAAGTCTGGGATTTATACCAATGTCATTATGTGGAAACTGAGCATAATTGAGAGCACACTGTGTATTGTCATAACTGCCTATTGTTACGTCATGAATATAACCGTGAAACAGGAGGGCAATCAAGCGAAACGTGAAACCTAACGAATAACCAGATTCACCTGACTAACTAAAAAGTGAGTTACCTTCTAGCCGCGATTAAAGGAAAGTACATGACATGTTGTGACGAATACTCTACGCATACTGTTCAAACGTACTCCGCTACTTGAATTCATTAATTAATTAAGGCAGTGTTACGTGTTCTGCTTAGGTGGTTGGTGTTTTAATTTGCTTGTGATTAGCATAGTTTGGGTTTTATTCAAGGCCAAGGTTTTTTCTCAAGTCGTGCTCTTTTTCTCCTTGGTAGTCTGCTTTTGCGAGAGTGCGGCACTTTAGGTTTTGCTTGCATCCATCAAATTCCCGGGTTTTCAGAATAAGTTTATAATAAATAAACTCGCAGACATTACAGCGTTTTATTTTAGTGTTCCTGCCCGACTGGGTCCCGAGTCATTGTATTAGCTTCGTGTAACGTAAGGGGGCTCTACCTTAGACGATCCAATCACGTGCCATTGTTTTGTTCGAAATTTGAGCGGGAACCGTGTTTTGATACTGAGATTGCAACGTTGCCACTTTGCCGTAAAATCTGTCATCTTCACTTCGAGCCTGGGGTGGGTTAAGATCAGTAGGTACAAACTGATTCGCTTTTTCTTTCCTGCATGGTTAATTTTTGGCGAATTTCGTTGGGAACATAGCAAAAAGCGCTATCACAATAGGCAGGGGCAAGATACTAATCTACGTATGTAAAATTGGGTACCGTCGTCCTCACATATGCGCAGACCTTTAATTTATTTTTGTCTTTGCAACACACTCGCCGCCTTTTCTTCGAAAAACCATCACACAATCTTCCATTAGAAGGGTCAAAGTGTTTTAAAAAATCTATAGATCTTTGAGAAGTCTGGAGCAGAGTTGGACTGGGTCACTGGGTCAACTGGGTCACTAAATTAAACCGGGTCACTGGGTCACGTCATACTCTTTTCAGTTAGACCCAGTGACCCAACTTGACCCAGTGACCTAGTTTGATCGAATAACGCAGTTAAGTCAGTGCCGTCGGTTTAAGTGTACAGATTATGAAATAAAGGAAATGCTGGTTTGTTGAAAATAATACTCGATTGCTTGACAACTACCATTTCTGTGATGTTTGCTTTAATACTGCCGTAAAAAACTTTCCATGTCCCGAATTGTATTAGAATACTGTTATTTCTTTGCTTCAGGGCTTACCAGTTTGCTTACAGGTGTTCATTCACATTTAATTTTTTTCTACTAGTTAGCTTAATCCAAATAAATCTTTTCTCTAAATACTTTCATTGACTACTTGACTACAAACTGTAAACAAATGCATTTGATTTTTTTTAGGTATTAGTTCTCTTGAATGAAATTGGGCTACGTGCTTGTTGCCGAATATTATTGAGGAAGTTTTTTTTAGAATTGAAAGTTACTTGAAATTGTTTTGGATGATACCTAACAATAATTTAATTACTGGGCCACCGGGTCACTGAGTAAAGCTGGGTCACTGGGTCACCGGATCAAGCTGGGTCACCGGGTCAAGCTGGGTCACCGAGTCAAGCTGGGTCACTGGGTCACCGGGTCAAGCTGGGTCACCGGGTCAACTGGGTCACCGGGTCAGGAAACTGTGGGTCACCGGGTCACTGGGTTACTCTATGCTTGACCCAGTCCAACTCTGGTCTGGAGTTCTGTCGGAGGAATAATAAGGTTTCCAAAGGTAAATATTACAACATAATTATTTCATTTTACAGTTTAGAGGATCATGTCAAAGAAAAAAGAACAAAAATAATAATGAACAATAACAAAATGGTGGTAGTATGTGTGCAGACAATAGTTCACAATTCTTGTAGAGGTTTGGTCGTATTGATCAATATTTGCTAGTATTGCAGTAGTCGCTGTCGCACTCCACACAGTGTTTCTTTCCGCGGCCATTTTGCTTCAGGTAGTTACAATCATAGATATGACATAATCTCACCGTATTATAAACGATCTGTTTGTTATAGCTGCCGCCTAGATATTCTAAAAGGATCTAGATGATATTCGTGTATTAGATTAACATATTATACGTACCTTCAAGATAAAATATGCATTTTCCGTTTGGACAACTCGTAGTTGCGGTAAGATTAACAAAGCTACGACATTGCTTAAAGTCAACATCAGAGGACTCCAACGAATTAGCTTCGCAAGAATAGCACTTCCTTGAGGTTTGAGAACCTACGAATCGATACGTCAACAGAAATCAACTTTAAAATAATGCATTCGATATGTTTCAAAAAGTGTAGAAACACACGCCATGACAAAAAAAGGAATAATTAAGTTTGACCCCTCCAAAATAATTTCCAAAACTAATATGCTAGACTTCCTCAGCTGGCATGTGCGTTCTCTCGTTTTCCTAACAAAATTGGCACATTGGACACAGTGTCGGAATCGACCATATATATGATCATTTTATTGGAACAGTGTATTTATCAAGTACAAAAGTTTAATGCTTGTTTAGTTCGATACACTTAACATAAAATATAATGTTACAATACAGTCATTTTGGCTAACATCAACGAACGTACATTAATTACAATACCAACATAAGCGACATCTATGATGCCTATAACCATAACGTCAATGTTTTAAATCTGGTTATACAAGATGCTTCAACACATTTTTCAGAGCAGCATGGAAATATACCTTAGGACATAGTGCATAGTGAAATTACGTTAATAACATGCTCGTTGGTAAACAATGTTTACTATCTCTCTTATCACCAAGCTATCTCCATTTTAAACGCATTAATTTCGTATTCGAATCTATTAATCTGCCCATATCAAGTTTTAAGTGTTTTATTGTTGCTTTGTATCACAGCGTACAACAACTTAATTATGATGAAAACTGATTAAATTCACTGAAGTGACTGTAAAGCACCACGTGTGTATATTACAAGCAACCGGTTTGGGTCTGGTGACAATCATGGTAATGCTATGTTTCTAAAGCATTTGACACGTTTCGGCTACAACTGTGAACAGGAACACCTGGTAAATAAGGAACCTATACTAGCGAAGAGTCAATAATTAGAAAGTAATCATCACAGCAATCTATGTTAATTCTAACCACTTGAAGCCTGAAAGCGCTTAAGTTCCCCAGACAACACATGATATCCAATGGATATGCGGTTCATGTTCATTTGATTTCTAATGAACACCGTACATATATTATCTGTTTTTGGATGTTTTTATACAACTATCCATAGCATTTTCATTCATCGTCCAATTTTGGATATCCATACCAACGACAAGAGCATTTCGCTGGATGAACGTTTTACTGTTGACACACGCGGTCGATCGTTTAATTAATTATTGTGGTTCCTTGATGTTTTGGTTTGCTTTTTGTAGGTATGACAAGTATTTTAAATCTTAAACCTTAAAAAGTGACAAGACAACCGAAGAGGCAATAAAAAATGGCTGCGAGGAACTAAAGAAAGGCATGAAGTTATGAAGTAATATATTAGATTTCTTAATTTTTTTGAAAATTGTCTTTTTTTGTTTTAGAGTAAGTGCACGAATAAAAATTTATTTATACTATGGACATCCATTTTATGTACCATATCCAAAAGTGGACATTCATAGGATATAACACGTGTCCATTTTTGTATTGCAAATGGCTGTCCATAAGATATGTTTGTGTTGTCTGGGTCGTGGATGCTTAACTGGCAAGAAATGAAGGCCTCCAATTTAGAGACCGTTCGTGCATAAAATATAAACGTGTCGTTACATACCTGAGACAACACCTACACACACGAGAACAACTGAAACCAATACAAGTTTAAAATACATGGTGAGAATATTCGTCTATGAGGCAGCTTGCACACACATTTATACCTACGCCTCAAGAGGTTTAACAGATTAGATAGGTACATATCTTAACTATAGCTAATAATTATCTCCTTATCTTATCATTATTTTAGTATTTTCGTTCATAAGGAAAAAAATATTCAAAACATGCCTGTGAGCGTTGCCTCGAGATATACAGAGCTTTCATTTTGTTGTATTTTTCAATCTATTAATTTTTTTTATTATATTTTATTTTCATATTGGTAATGATCTTAGCCTCCTACTATCTTGGCGGGCTAACGCCAACTTCAAGTCACACCGGAATCTGTAGTAGCGGGAATGCCAAACTAACATGGCTGCCTATTTCCCGCGAGAATCTGTCACTCGGGGACCACTCCGAGTGCACTAATCGTGATCGTCATTGTAGGACACCTACGTTGTGTAATAACTGGGTTCTCAGCAGGCACTGAGGGCGTTTTATGGGTAAGGAACACCAAAAGCAATAGCTGATTAAGATTATATTGAAGCTGACACCAATTCCAATACGACGCCCCTGCAGAGGGTTCTATACTACTCCGGCATTTACCTTACGAATTAGCTAAACTGCAGGAAAACCTAATTCGGAGTAGTCCTATAATGAACAAAGCCTACAGCTAACATCTAAAGTACAGCACTTTTGAGCCCTGTCGAAACCGGGGTAAATACTACATACACGCTATAAGTAACCAAAATGGAATCGAGTCATCCCCAGGTATTACAACACACACATCAGACAAAACTAAGATACATTAAATATGCCGCGCCGGGCGGTAGGCCCAGTGTGGTGCCTGTAGACGTGGGCTAAAGTTGTTGGGCTTCGGAATGAGTGAAAATGTTAGTGTTAGGTTCACCAAGGCCCGTATAAACTTGAATAACTCGATCCCCTCTAAACAAACACACTTCCCTCTTGATTACTCACAGCCCAAATAAACACATATAATGGAATGCAATGAAATAATCGAGAGTGGCTAAAAAGCACGATACACAAATAAGGGGACACGTACAAATATGTACAATACAGATACAGCCCTACCGACAATTAAACATGATTGCCAATACTAACAAAGGTTACACATTTACAAGTGATTGAATCCAGTAAGTACACAAGTAAAGGGTTACAACCTGCATTCAAGTTAAACACATTTATAGATTAATTGAATAAAGCAAATACCTCCACCTGATATAAAAAAAAACAAAAGCACAAAGTAATGATTAAGGTGTAACAAAATGTTTCAGATAAGCCGTACTTTACACTTAAGCGGGTTACAAGAAAAAGACCATGAACACACATGTTAAATCGTATTTATTGACTACCCCAAGCGACGCTGTAACTTGATCTCCTAACATCCCTAAAAACCACCCCAAAATCGCCCATTCCCTGCATTTCACGCATTTCTAGGGAAAAACTGGACTGCAGGTGTTTGAAATTGTAAACACATGTGGTCTTCCGAGAAATTCCATCCGTCTCATCTTCGCTCTCTTTCCCTTTTCTGTAATCCCACCAGATTTCGAATGGCAGCTTGTGTAACTAACATGATGTATAGGGTGCTTCGTATCGACAATCATCTTCACAGGATGTTGTTAAGGTTGCGGCATCTCAATATATTAATTTAATTTAGATATTCCAATATACAGGGTGTCCACGCGAAAACCTTAAATGGACTAATATTTGGTGTTTTAAAAGATATGAACTTGAAATTTTGAAATGTGGTCAAGGAAGAAGTAGGAAATTAATACTGTAGACATGTGATCACCCCCTGACCAAAAATTCAAATGACACTGACATGTCCGATTTCAAATTTCAAACGACCAGTACCGTTGGCGTACCTAGAGACATAGTTCAAGCGACAAGTACCGTTGGCATATATAGAGACGCCGTTCGAAAGTATTTGCGAGTGAAACCTTAGACTACAAAAGAAAGGGGACTGATAATATCTCATCAGGGCAATACTGCGCGTTGAAGCCTGGGGCGGCCATATTTTCGGAGCCAAAGTTTGTTTAATTTTTCATTTTCGTGATTATGCGATCCTTTGTAATTATCTGCGTAGGCGCAAATCCGAAATTTAAACCCGGCAAAACGTCAAGAACATAGCAATATTATTTGTGGTGTATATGTGTGTGTCACTAAGATGGAAATTTCATCGGATTTATTGCTTTTGCGGTTAAGAAGACAGAGAGACAAAGTTGTTACCAAACAAAAACGGCGTTGGTGGGTCAGACCTATAAATCGAGACCGAGAGAAAAGAGGAGAATTTAAGCGATTGTGTCTAGAAATGAAGCTGCATGATGAACAATGGTTTTTTTCACACACCAGGATGACTCCAGCATTATTCGATCACCTTATTCACAGCGGTCAATAATTATAGACGCGGTTGTGACCTATTAACCTTATGTCTTTTGTTACCTTTATTAAACAAATGGGGTTGTAATCGCACCAAACTAATTAGTAACTCGACGTCTATGTTTTCCACGTCATGTTGGATATAATCCAAGAACAACCCACGAACGACCACACCACCCCAAACTATGAAATAATGCGCCAAAAACTATGTACCTACCAATTTAAAAATAACCAGATTATGTTTGCAGATGTTAGACGCAGTAACTGAAATGTCAAACCAACAGCGCAGTGCTGCATCTTTGTGCCCAACAGAAATACACCTAATTCCACTAGATTTTTCATAAAACTTACGTAAAGTTGAAACCGACCCAACTTTATGTATTTTTTATGTACCGTTTCGGTATGACATAAAAGATACGCGGACATTTACAAAAAAACAAAAATTATGTAATCATTGTGAACAAATAGGTACGTTGGTGTGCTACTATTCAACATTATGAATTATGTATCTGTTATGTTTTTGTTATGCTTATATCCATTGTGAACAATCACTAAGTCTCGAGGAAAGAGTATGAAACAATGAGGGCTGTTTCACAATATAATAGTTTTCGATGTCAGCATTTGAAAACAATGTTAGTGTTGAGATGCCCCAACCTTAACAACGTCCTGTGAATATGATTGTCGATACGAAGCACCCTATACATCATGTTGGTTACGAAAGCTGCCAACCGAAATCTGGTGGGATTACAGAAAAGGGAAAGAGCGAAGATGAGGCGGATGGAATTTCTCGGAAGACCACATGTGTTTACCATTTCAAACACCTGCAGTCCAGTTTTTTCCTAAAAATGCGTGAAATGCAGGGAATGGGGGATTTTCGGGTGGTTTTTAGGGGCGTTAGATCAAATTACCGCGTGGCTTGGGTCCGTCACCGAGACGCGTGGCGCAGTGGTTGCGCTCACCTATGCTATTCGGGAGGTCGTGGGTTCGAATCCCGCTGCCGACTGCTCTGTCTGGGGTTTTGTCAGGGGGTTTTCCTCAGACATACGTAGCTTCGCATAATGCTAGCATTATGTTGAAATCTACGAGGCGAATGCTGGAGCAGTACTCTCCCCCTCAGCACCCTAACTCCGTTCCTTTCGTTCCCATCCCCAACTTTACCCATCCTTTCAATCCCGTTCTCTGGCTGAAGAGGGCCAGGAAGCCCTGAGCAGCACGCCTCCGGTATCCCTGTAGTCAGGGGTGCCCGAGGAATGAAACACGTTGGTCTTTTTCCCTTTTCCTTTTTGGGTCCGTCAATAAATACGATTTAACATGTGTGTTCATGGTCTTTTTCTTGTAACCGCCTGAAGTGTAAAGTACGGCTTATCTTGAAATATTTTATTATACCTTAATCATTGCTGTGTGCTTTTGCTTTTTATATCAGGTGAGGTATTTGCTTTATTCAATTAATCTATAAATGTGTGTAACTTGAATGCAGATTGTAACCCTTTACACTTATGTACTTACTGAATTCAATCACTTGTACCTGTTAATGTGTAACTTTTGTTGGTATTGGCAATCATGTTTCATTGTCGGTAGGGTTGTATCTTGTCACTCTCGATTATTGCATTGCATATCATTATATTTGCTTATTTTGGGCTGTCAGTAATCAAGAGGGACGTGTGCTTGTTTAGAGGGGATCGAGTTATTCAAGTTTATACGGCCCTTGGTGAACCTTAACACTAACATTTTCACCCGTTCCTGCCCGGCGAGGAATATTTAACATCTCTTAGTTTTGTCTGATATGTATGTGTTGTAATACCTGGGGAATGGCTCGATTCCATTTTGGTTACTCATAGCGTGTTTGTAGTAGTTAACCCGGTTTCGAGAGGGCCAAAAAGTAAACTTAATCAGCTATTGCTTTTGGTTTCCTTATCCATAAACCGCCCTCAGTGCCTGCTGAGAACCCAGTTATTACACAACGTAGGTGTCCTACATGACGATCACGATCTTATAGCACTCGGAGTGGCCCCGAGTGACAGATTCTCGCGGGAAACTTAAGCGAGAATATTCAAACAGGCAGCCATGTTCGTTTGGCATTCCCGCTACTACAGAATATGGTCGAATATCCCGATGTGACTTGAAGTTGGCGTTAGCCGCCATGATAGTAGGAGGCTAAGATCATTACAGTGTGTATAGGAAGAAGATGTGGTGTTGAATTAGCTTTGCCAAGATCACTTTGCTTTCTGCATCCATTGAGTTAAATTCAATTTGTTCTAATTTGTGCCAATATCCATTTTGAAAGCGTTAATGTACATAGTTTTAATTGAAATTATTTATATTGTATGATGTTGCCTAGCTGTTTGTAACTCAGGTGTAAGTGAGTCTTGAATTTGGTGTTATTTGCTTTCAATGTAAATGATATACCTAATTTGATTTATTTGAGATTGGCCAGTTATTAATTTTAATATGAATGTTTGAACTCATTTAGACTGATTAGCGGCTTCAATTCCTTGTGTACGAATCTGCCTTTTTTGTGTCATTTACCTTTTCCCCCCTGCAGAGCTACATGCCGAAGTGAAAACATAATGAGAGGTTCCACCCTGTATATACAACTTACGACGATACATACATTTTTGAGAGTTGGCAACCATGCAATTTCTAGGTGGGAAAAAGCTGTCTGTGCCATCTAAAAAGCACGAACGGAGGTTACGTTGATCATTTTGTCTTGAATGGCGATCGTGAACGTGTCGCTCCATAAACGTTTGTTGTTATTTTGTGTTATTTAATGCAGGTAGTAATCTTTGCATTTCTTTATATCGTATTTGTGTTTTGTATGCCACATTTTATATTTTTTGTGTTTCAATCTTTATTTTTGAAATTTACTTGGTTTAACCGCAATACATAATTACATATGTGATACAGTTATGCTATTGTTTGTAATTGTTTACGTTTTTGGTGTAATGCTTGCTTAATTTATGTTTATTGATGTTGATTACTTGGTCTTGTCCTTGAAGTAACATTCATATAAGTTTTGATCATTTTATTTAATATGTGGAAATTACCGATTCGTTTGATGTATTGTACTGACTTGTTGTTTGTAACTAACAATTTTCTCCATGAATGATGCAGTCATATGTTACCTCTTGAAGCTACGCATTCACATCACTACAAGCAATTAATTTTTAATGGTGTTTTTATTGGTAAGTTCTTTTTTCCCAGCCTATTTATTTTTATTCGGTGAACTACCATTTTCAAAGTTTATTTTTACAATGTAATTTATTTCGACTTAAATTTCCGAGCTTTCACAATCTTAATAATTGCGATCATTATTAAACAAACTTTTCACAATTTCAGTGTTTTATTTTACGTTCCTTCCCTACTGTGCTTCAGGTCAACTACAACTAACGTAAGGAGGGGCCCTGCCTTAGATGTTTGTACTTAGCGGCATTCATCTCGAAATGTATATAGTTTAAGGTTACCGTATCCAGGACCTTCAGATACATTCCGGATAGGAGGTGGTCCGGTTAATTAACGATGCATTTTACTTCACCAATGAGAAAAATTTAGGTAGGTATCCTACGTTTACCGTGTACTCTCGTCGCAATCGTTGTCCTGGGTTCTGGAGGCCTTCTTCCTGGATTTCCTGCCGTGTGCGCGTTAAGTTAGCAGCCTTTGCTGGTTGCGTTTGACCCTTTCCACTAGGGTGGAAATGTCGATCGCTGCGCTCGTCAGATGGGGTGCGGTATTGGCCGACGTTATTGGTTCGAGAGCTCTATAAATATTGAGGGCGTCGCCAGGAATTTCGTCTACCGTCGGGTTTCCTGATAGAAAGTCGGGCAGTTCGTTGTCCCTTTCCGGGCAGTGGTCTTTTACCCTGTTTAGCCATATGGGTGCGAGGTTGTTAGTTTTCAGGGTAAAATGGCGGTCTTCCAAATACGGCTGGTAGCGTTTGATGCCCCATAACATCGCCATGCATTCTTGTGCGCTAATATGGAATTTTTTGGGGCGTCGGCGTCATTTCCGCATATAAAACACTGTTGCGATTCTGTGCCCGCTTGCGTCTGTCTGAATTAGGCAGAAAGGTTCCCCGAAATCCCGTCTGTAGAGCTGCAGTGGGTGTGTGAGAGCTTCTGGAATGCCTCCTCCGCTTCTTCCGACCTCGTGAATCCCTGGTTAGTTCTGAGTAAATTGTTCAGTCTGCGCATTTTGGAACGTTATCCCGTAATCAATTAGCCTATACTTACAATTGGCAAATCTGTGGAACGACTGGAACAATTACAAGCAACGTCATCTAACTTTCGTTGTCAAAATGTCGAATATTTCGCTGCCTTTTTTTACTTTGGCAGTCTTTTATGTGTTGGAAAGTGGCACACAATCGGAAAAGGATTAATCTTAAAAAACAGAATTTTGTGCGTCTTAAGGGAATAAGAAAAACGAAATTTGTTACGCACGAGGTTTGGTTCCGTAGAGCAAATCCAAACCGAAAAGCCAGGAAAAAAAGAACTAACAAGAAAAAACCTAGCATAACACACAAATGCTTGACGGTAACAGGAATACAAAAATCAGATTGTGTCAACGGTGGTTAAACACATCTACGGTTCAATTTTAGACAACCGGTAAAATGATAAATTGCATGTACCTAAAGAACATCAAAGTGAGCATGAATTTGTTTCGGCATATTCATCTCACTGAAGGTCAAACGTAGACGTGGGTTCTTGTCTAAACCATTCTCACTGAAGGTCATTCGATCGTGGTTGTTGTCTAAACTAAAAGTCAACGGTGGGAGTTAATCATAATCATAAAGTTCGTTCCTGAACTCATTGTTACTGGAGGTCAAATGGTGGGGTTCCTCGCCTGAAGTGTGTATTGGTACCGGCACGTAAGAAGGCAAACGATCACGCATCTTCACTATTCCTATTCTATTAGTTGCACCTATTAGTGCGCAACGGGGCCTTCTGCAGAAATTAGTCAATATTTGCATAACATAAAGATTGTTGGTCATATGAAAATAAATATTAATAATAATATGAAAATTCAGAACAGGACTCAATGTAATTTTTTATTTACTTACATGGAATGGTTAACCAGTTCTACTATTAATTCCATCACAACCACTAATATCTAAGGTTTGGTCAATTAATTGACTTGTATGACGTTTCTTAACTGACAGCAACTGACCTTAAATTGTGTTGCGGTGCGAGACACAATCACAAAGGTTACATTTGAAATGTTTCGTACCATCGTGTCTTAAGTGATGCTGTTTCAAACTGTGTTTATAATTTGTGCCATAATCACAATGTGCACATCTAAAAACTTTTGTACTATTGTGCGTTAAGAGATGTTGTTTAAAGCTGAATTTATGATTTGTGGCATAATCGCAAACGTCACATTTGAAAATTTTTATAACGTTGTGTGCTAAAAGATGTTGTTTTAAATTGCATTTATGATTTGTGGCATAATCACAAAGGTCACATTTCAAATCTTTCGTACCCTTGTTTGACGTTTTGTGTTTTGCGAGATGATTTTTGAACAGTTTTGGATTGTTTGTTTCATAATAACACCGGTTACATTTGAAATCTTTCTTATTGTGCCTTCGGATGTGTTGTTTCAAGTTGCGTTTATTATGTGCGCTATAATCACATTGTGCACATCTAAAGTCTTTTGTACAATTGTGCGTTGAGAGATGTTGTTTCAAAGTCTGTTTATTAATTGTAGCAAAATCACAAAGGTTACACTTAAAATGTTTCGTACCATTGTGTGTTAAGAGATGTTGTTTCAAATTGTAATTACGATTTGTGGCGAAATCACAAATGTCACATTTCAACCCTTTCGTACCATTGTGTGCTAAGATATGTTGTTTCAAACTGCGTTTATGCTGTGTGGCAAAATCACAAAGGTTACATTTGAAATCTTTGATACCATTGTGTGCTACAAGATGTTGTTTCAACCTATATTTTTGATTTGTGGCAAAATCACAAATGTGACATTTCAAATCCTTTGAACCATGTGTTAATAGATGTATTTTCAAGCTGCGTTTGTAACGTGCGGCATAATTACAAATGTAACATTTGAAATCTTTGGTACCATTGTGTGCTACAAGGTGTTGTTTCAAACTATATTTACGATGTGTCGCAAAGTCACAAATGTGACATTTCCAATCTTTCAAACCATGTGTTAGGAGATGTTTTTTCAAACTGCTTTTATGATGTGTGGCATAATCGCAATGGTTACATTTAAAATCTATCTTATTGTGTGATAACACATGTTGTTTCAAGTTCCCTTTATGATGCGTGCCAAAATCACAATGTGGACATCTACCGTATTTCTTACTATTGTGTGTTAAGAGATGTTGTTTTAATTTGTATGTACGATTTGTGGCATAATCACAAAAGTCACATTTGAAATTTTTAGGCATTTTCGGTGCCAGAAAATTTGACATATTACCTTTTATGTCACATTTAAATTTTACATTTTCAGATTCAATATTTTGTTGCTGTGTTTCTTCCTCGTCATACTCATTGTTAAAGTGTTCTGTACCAAATACAAGAGCAATAGGTTCTTCTTTTACAGTTACAGAAGCATAGTTACTTATAAAATTATTTCTTACAAGAGACGAATTTATTTCCTCTTCTTTTTCTGGTTCAATTTTAACAATGCCATCGTCCATTACTGCCTATAATAAATATGTGTAAATGATATCATACAAAAATAGGACTTACCTCCATAAATGCAAAGCTCTATAACTTCCCTCCTCCAAATGGTATGAAAATAAATCACTGATAGCTTTATAAACAAAGGTAAGGTAATAGTGTATTTGATGCACTTGTAGTTTCGATTGCTGACTAAATTTGTTGATGTTGCACTCTGCTCAAATACAACCGTTTATACAACACATCTTCAACTCAACTACAAACTTCTTGAAAAAGAGGCTAGGTTATGTATAAGTTTGCGTCATCAGACATTGGGCGCGTTCACCAGACGAAGAGCTTCGCGAGCGCTACCTAAAATGCTGGTGAACGACTCGCTCAACCAGGGCACCGATTCCCGAAGTTAGTCAATATGCTCCGTGATGTGACCGGCTGCCATGACGTCATGATCGTATACGATAGGGATAAGTTCAAGTTTAGCCTCATTCCCGAATCGTGGACAAACTTTATACGCTAACAAATCACAGACAAGCATTGAACTGTCATTTGTCAGTTTTGTATTTTGTTTTGTTTTTGCATTTAGGATACTGTTATTAATAACCAGAAAATTCTGGAACAATTCCATGTTTTATTTCAGAGAAAATATGTGAATGTATAGGTTAGGGCACTGAATAAACCCTAGCAAAACAGCTGCAAGATCCGTCCTGTAGCTGCAACTGCGCATGACTTTCACGCAACGGCCAACGAGTGGTTTATACCAGTCGTTGCGTTCGATCAACTTATCGCTCGATGTGGTAGGTTCGAGAATGCAGTCACATTCACGTTCACATCAAGGTCAGTCGATGTGAACAAAGCACATCTTCGGGAATCGACGCCCAGCTCTTCAGCTGCAGCAGCCTACGAAGCGTATTTCAGCAACCGCTTTCTCTGGGTCTGGGTAGCGGTGTTTGAGGTAATATCTGTGACGTACACTGTATTACTTATGTGACATGTTGAGAGGTTCCTCCCTGTATATACATCTTACGACGATGCACACATTTTTGAGAGTTGGCAACCATGATATTTCTAAGTGGGTAAAAGCTGCCTGCGCCACCTAGAAAGCAGGAATGTGGTTTACGTTTGGCATCTTGTCTTGAATGGCAGTCGTGAACGCGTCGCTCCATAAATGTTTGTTGTTATTTTGTGTTATTTAATGCAGGTAGTAATTTTTGCATTTCTTTATATCGTATTTTGTATACCGCATTTTATATTTTTTGTGTTTCAATCTTTGTTTTCGAAATTTACTTGGTTTATCCGCAATGCAGAATGACATGTTTAATACCGTTATCCTTTGGTTTATAATTGTTTACGTTTTTGGTGTAATGTTTGTGTTTATGTGTCTTGTCCCAAAAGTTACAGTCCTATAAATTTTGATCATTTTATTTTAATATGTGGAAATTACCGATTCGTTTAATGTATGTACTGACTTGTTGTTTGTACCTAACAATTCTCTCCGTGAATGAAGCAGTCACGGGGGTGGTAAAAACTGTAGCCAAAATTGAGTTACGGCACCTAATAATTCCGTGATTGTCTTCGACTGTAGGCTCGAAACCAGGGGCGGGTTACCTATCTTGCAGGAGCGGGATTACGGTAATCAAAGCTCTTCAGTTTAGAATCTATGTGCGATAAATGAGTGGCGATTCGATAATTTCCAAATATCTTGTTTTTAGTTAAATTTGCTACAAGGCCAAGGGAATTTATTACACCACAGATGAGTCACATCCTGTGTATTTCACCCTTTCTTAGAATCCTGGTACCTGCTTACCTGACCCATAATTCCCAAAACTTGTTTTTAACCTATTATGTTACCTCTTGAAGTCCACATGCTACTATTTGTGATGTTATAATTTTATGTTACGCATTCGCATCATTACAAACAATTAATTTTACAACACAGTTTGATACTAATTTAACGGCTGTTTTTTTTTATTGGTAAGTTCTTTTTTCCCCAGCCTATTTCTGTTTTTATTCGGTGAACTACCATTTTGAAAGTTTATTTTTGCTATGTAATTTATTTCGACTTAAATTTCCGAGCTTCTACAATCTTAATAATTGCGATCATTATTAAACAAACTTTTCACAATTTGAATGTTTTATTTTACGTTCCTTCCCTACTGTGTTTCAGGTCACAGCGTTGTTTACAACTAACGTAAGGGGGCCCTGCCAAATTTAAGCGGGATTTAGTTTTGGAAAGAATAGTCATTCGGGTAGCCATTTTTAAACGTTGCCGGGTTGACTTTATTTCCGTGTTCTTGTAGTGTGAAGTTATTGTAGAACGTGGGGGTTAAGTACACTACAACCGTATTGCTCAGCAATTTCCGTGAGCAATGACGAATGTGGTGGGAAATGGTGCTGTTCCGAAAGTAGTTTGGTGGGCTTGTGTCTAAAAGCGTTTTCGATTGGCAAAACTCGTACTGCACGAGTGTTGCACGAGAAACTGAAGAAATCCATGTGAAAATTGCTCTCAATGGAACATAAATATTCGTAGATATTTGTTGTCACTCAGAGTAAGAAATAATCTTACTCTGAGTGTTGTCATTTGTCCATAACCTCATTTTAGATTTAGGTAATCGACAAATCTCTATTCTAAAGAACGACAAACGATTTCATTTATGATAAACGATGAGAAATATAAATTTGAAATTCCTGTAAAGGACCAATTTTTTGCGTTCAGTTTAATGAGTAAGTGCAACTTTTTCTAAAATAGAAGTTATGGCTAGTTCATCATCTTCGCTATCGCTAGATGACGACAAAAAACTCTCCCAACGCAAGAAACAAATTCAAATTGTCGAACGTTTGTTTTGAAAATTTGTTAACTTGCAGCTCCACGAGCTCTCAGACCTCGTACGTCGAAATTTGCACTGAGTGCGTAATTGTTGCATCACATTTGCCAATGGAACACAGAAAATTGCCCTAAAATTACCAATAGAACGTAAAAATTGCACTCGTGCAGCACGAGTTTTGCCAATCGAAAACGCTATAATTCAAATACGTAATTGTCCGTTGCACTACAAAATGTATGATCATGTAACAGGAAACGCAAATTTTGTATACAAATCGCCAATTATATTAACTGTGATATGCAACCCAACATACACTTATGTTTATTAATATTATTTGATTGTTGTCAGTCCGTCACTGGACGAGCTTTCGCAAATATCTAAGTTCGCCTCTGTATCTTGATGGCGACGCATATAATTCCAATAGAGGGCGCACTTTCTGTTTATTTCACTTTAAAAATTTGTGTAACGGTTTATAGAACCATATTTCAAAATGAATAAAACAAACATAATAAAACTACCAAAAAACGGCAGCAAAGACGAGAATAAAACGCGCCATTGTCGCGCCAGATTGCAGGACCGATTTGATAAAAGCGACAGTAGCGAGAAGAGCAACCGCAGCATTCTGACAATCGTGACTCTGGAAGACACTCGCCGAATTCTACGCAGCGGTGCGGAAAAGATCTGCAAAACCTTCAACGATTTACGCACGAACCTAGGAACGTTTACCCAGGTGAGTCACCTTTAGAACTGTCCCCGATTATCTGTAACACGTCAATTTAGAGGTTCCGCAGTACGACGAAACGAAGGCAGATATTACAGGAAGGACCGGCGACGCCAGGTTTTACTACGCCACATACATTTTCCAAGGCACTCCTGGGAAGGACGCCTACGAAGTTATACAGCCCGTTCAGTATCGACAGCCCCTACAATAAACCGTTAACGAAAATGTAGCGTACTCGCATTGCTCGATCGTTTCTCTCTATCAGTATTTTAATTTAACAAAAGGCGACTTTCTTAAACGTTTATTTACAAATACATCCCTTTCGACATTAAGTGCTGTTTTGATTCACTAATACTACTGCTGGTCTTCCTTACAAGCGCGTAACAAGTAATTAAAACGACGACAAAAACTAGAAAACAACTCGTGACTATCAAATGCGAGTTAATCATCAGGCGATCCTCGTCGCTCAGGTACATCTCGTATTTCAAGTTCTGATTGTAGTCGATGTCGTACTGCAACTGTAACAGCAGCTCCTCGTCGCAAAAAGTGTCGACGGGCACGTCCTTGGTGTTCGCCTTTAAAAGTCCCCATTTCTGAAACAATTAAAATGATCAATGGAGACACTGTAGAGCTCTTGTGGACCAAGAAACCACAATAAGAATGCGGGTGGACAAGGGACGCAGAGATCATCATTTTATACAGGGTGGTCCAAATTGAACACTGTCTTATGGTAACGCCCTTTATTTTAAGAGATCAGAATTCAGTACTAAAAAATGTAGTTTAGGGTCGTATAAAAATACCAAGCAGTCTATAAAAACTGTATCGCAATAGATTCTACATAAAATTATGGTCCGTTAAAGAAATCGAAAAAGTTCGAGAAACGCCCTCTAGCGGCCAAACGATTAGAGGTAGCTGTCAGTGATTTTCTCTTTAAAATTGAGCTTCAGGCACCTGGTTGATTTTTTCTACCTTAAGAGTCAAAAGGAACATGACCAATTTGGACCACCCTGTAAACTGAAGTCCTCGTATACTCCACAGTTTTAGATCTTTCCAAGTGAGACTTTTAGTAAAATTTTGTAAATTTCGTGAGGGGACTGCAAAAGATTGAGAGCAATTTTGTCTTCTGAATTCGAGCCGAAGACCAAAAAACCCTTCCCCCAGCTTTTGAGAAAATACTGAAAGATTGTTGAAGGGATTTGTTGGGCTACTCCTGCCATATGGGGGTTTTCGGGCATAATTCCCGAAAACAGGATATCACCATACAGGGTGTCTCACAAGAAATGCCGGCTATCATTATTCCGAAGTGGAGCCCTTGCATTATTTTTAAAATTTGACAGTACCCTATACTGTACAGTGCGTTCGACATGACAGGGTACGACAACATGCGAAGCAAAAAATTGACGTTTGAATATACAGGGTGTGTTTATTGCATCACAGGTCATCATTTTATAAAAGGGGTGATTTGTATAGGGTGGTCCAAATTAAACACTTTCTTATGGTAACGCCCTTTATTTTCAGAGATAAGAATTTAGCACCAAAATATATAGGGTGGTCGTATGAAAAAACCAAACACCCTGTATACAACCTGTATCTCAATAGATTCTACATAAAAAAAGTCCTCTAAGAAACATTTTACGAAAATCAATAATCTTTAATAAGAAAGTTATGGGCCATTACAGAAATCGACAATGTTCGAGAAACGCCCTCTAGCGGCCAAACGATTAGAGATAGCTGTCAGTGATTTTCTCTTTAAAATTGAGCTTCAGACACCTGGTTGATTTTTTCTACCTCAAGAGTCAAAAGGAACACGACCAATTTGGACCACCCTGTACACTAAAGTCCTTGTATACTACACAGTTTTAGATCTTTCCAAGTGAGACTTTTAGTAAAATTTTGTAAATTTCGTGAGGGGACTGCAAAAGATCGAGGGCAAATTTGTCTTCTGAATTCGAGCCTAAGACCAAACAACCCTTCCCCAGCTTTGAGAAAATAATGAAAGATTGTTGAAGGGGTTTGTTGGGCTACTCCTGCTATATGGGGGTTTTCGGGCATAATTCCCGAAAACAGGATATCACCATACAGGGTGTCTCACAAAAAATGCCGGCTATCATTATTCCAAAGTGAATATATTTTTAAAATTTGACAGTGTACAGTGCGTTCGAGATGACAGGGTACGACAACTTGCGAAGCAAAAAATTGACGTTCGAATATACAGGGTGTGTTTATTGCATAACAGATCATCATTTTGTAAAAGGGGTGATTTGTACAGGGTGGTTCAAATTGAACACTCTTATGGTTTATTTTAAGAGATCAGAATTCAGCACGAAAATGTATAAGGTGGTCCAGTCCTTATGAAAACATGTAGTTTAGGGTCCTATAAAAAACCAAACACCCTGTATAAAAACGGTATCGCAATATAAGATTTTGCAAAAATCAATTATCTTTAATAGAAATTGACAAAATTCGATAAACGCCCTCTAGCGGCCAAACGATTAGAGATAGCTGTCAGTGATCTTCTCTTTAAAATTGAACTTCAGACACTCAAAAGAGCTCAGAATTCAGCTCGAAAATATATAAGGTGGTCCCGTCCTTATGAAAAATCCAATTTGGATCACCCTGGTACACTAAAGGGTACTGTGACGGACGGTGGCCGGAACTCCAATCCTGAACGCCGTCGAATTAGCTAACGTGTAATTAATTTGAATTAACGTGAATTAATTTGAATTAACGTGAATTAATTTGAATTAACGAGAATTAATTTGAATTAACGTAAATTAATTTGAATTAACGTGAATTCATTAGAATTAATGATAATTAATGTGAATTACGTAATATGAATTGATTTAAATTAATTTGAATTAACATTAATTTACGTGAATTATTTTAATTAACGTGAATTAATTTGAATTAACATTAACTTACGTGAATTATTTTAATTAACGTAAATTAATTTGAATTTGAATTTTTGGTGTACACTAAAAATGGCACTCGTTTCCCCCTAGGGTAGGCCACTACACTACGACGTTGCTGGGAAGATCTTCCAATTTGGTTTCGATGCTTCAAGGGGGTAAATTAATGGGTCTGTGCACCACTCGGTAATGGCCGATTAGGGCGGTGCCTCCAGCTGCCGGCTGCTGCTGTCGATCTGTAAATGGTATAGTTGGGGATGTTGAGAGATAGTTTGTCGGATAAGCGTGTTTAATTTCTTTTACGACGACACCAATTTGAAAAACCAAAACTCTAGAAGATTGGAAAAAAACTCAAAAAACTGAATATCACCACGTTAGTAAATCACGCTCGCGGATGGCGCCCAGATGTCGCCGACCCCACAATTTTATCACCTTTGTAACTTATTCAATTAAGATATGGTGACATTTGGTCGTTTGCGATACGGAGTTTTTATCAGACGAAATATAATTAACGCACGTGTTCTTATAGCTGTTCAGAGATGCATGTATTTTACCAAGATGTATTGAGCGGGGACGGTTCCTTTGAAGCGGATATAATCATGTCTATAATTGTGACTGGTGGTGTTATTTGAAAATTCATAAAGAAGGAGTGGAAGTGGTGTTTCCTTAAATACTGGAGTCAATGTCAAAACAAGGCTGCTGCTACTGCTGTTAGTTTTCGCGACGTGTTGTTGGTTTTCGGAAAAAGTTTCGTGGAGTTGAAAAAGGCCAGTAGTACAGCGAGGTCTTTTGTTAAGGTTCTCTTCTTATTAGAAGTTAAAAGTTTCTACCATCCGAACAACTACCGAAAAATTTGTAATAAAATTCAACAAGCCATATGTTAAGTTTAGTGTTATCACGAACAAATGAAGTTTCCTGAAGCTGTCAGAGGGTATTGTTGGTGCGCCTAGTATCGCAAATACGGCCAGATTCTTTGGATAATTAAGAAAAAAACTGCTGGTGATTTTAAGATTTCTTACTTTATTTGTCGACCACCTGCGTGCGGGGTAATATGTCCAAACAAGCTTTGTAAGCTTAGTTTTAATTTTTTTTCATTGTGTTTCGGAATAAATGTGTTAATCAATTAATTGTGTGTTTATTCGACCTCATTGTGCGACCCGGATAGTTTTCATATCAGATGCTTTTTTTTGTATTGGTGCCCACTACCCAAGATTTAGTTTCAAAATTTGTGTAGTTACTTCCGGTATAATTTGAAAATATTTTAGATGAATTTCTCCTATTGACATTAGTACCTACATTGTTAAACTTACAATCAGCGTTGTTTTTTAGCTTTAAAAGAGCGGTAATTACGTACGGGAGCGGGGGTATAACATTATTTCATTTGATAGCAGATGTTAAATTCACATTTTAATAGGTTTAAACAATAGTAACAGTAAGAGTGGTTAAAGAGCTTTAACCGCAAGGATAGATAAAGTGAAACAAGTGATTGTACATTCTAATCACCTCCGTCATTCTTTTAGAAATGGGACGCGGAGCACGAAATAAAATGAAGTTCAGAGCAGAAAACAATATGGTTTCCATGGAAACGACAGGAGAAGCTTGCTATTTTTGATGTCCAAATAAAATCATCATTTTCCGAAGTTTTATAATGATATTTATATGGCTTCTGCTATAAAATGAGGTTTTGTATTATACACGACGACATGGATTTATTGTCTTGCATAATAAATGACTATCTGTACTTCAATGAGGCCTTCATATAATCAAGTTCAAATTTCCTCGCAAATTTCACTTAGAAAACTGGGATCGTGCAGGGGAAATAGTATTCAATAATTAGGTAACAACTTTGTCTGAGGACAAACATGATTAGATTGCGCACTCTTTATTTGCTTTATCTACCTTTGTTGTTAAAGTATCAGTTTGTCCTACTCTTATCTTATCTACTTACTGTTAAGTACCAAATTTCGTCGCAATATGGACTTTTTTGGATCCTCCCTTAACGTTTTGGTCCTATCTTGAAGTTGAAATCTTGTATAAATTTTTAAAAATCAAGATGGGCATACATTTTGGGTTCTCAGTTTAAAGAAATGTTTTGGTTTCCTCAACTACTCAATTTTTTTTTGACGTTCTTAATTGTTACACCCTGTATAAAAAAAAGTTTAAAATCTAATAAAAATCTGACAATTTAATTGTAATTTCTTGGTGTTTTTGCGAATTAAATTGACACACTTACATTTTTATTTCGTGTACCAACCGGCTCCGGTGACTTACACGGATCTTGCACGCTGAGCTTGGGCATGAAATCGGCGGGCCCGGTTATCGTCACGCAAATTTCTTCGGTGTCGTTCTGTTGCGGCACGGAGAATTCCACCTTCAGGTGCGAAGGAACGTCCGTTCTCTCGAGACATTTGCTGCTCCAATCTGAAAATTGCAGTCAACTGGCGAGTTAGGTCGTCACGTCACGTACCGGCCAAGGGTATCAGTCCTTGAAAGCGGTGCGGCGAATTGGGTGGGAGCTTCAGCAGCTTGGCGGGCGTGGCTACGCGCACGGAGGAGGCGTCCCGTTGCATTTTCATTTGAAACTGTGACTTGTCGCCGACGCTAGTGCACAGTTCGAGCTTGTTCATGTACTTCAGTAACGAAATCCAGTCCTTGAAGTACAGTTAAAATTTTGCATGGCAAACGTCAGAGTACCTACGTTAATTGCGTCCACATTTACGATCTTGTCTCCACTGTGTACGTAGTACGCCAGACAAACAGATGTTATTATGATACCTAAAAGGCAAACGGTAAATACGATTAGCGGTGGTCGTGATTTAACATTTGTTGTGAAGTTTTTGTGTACAGAAAACACCATATTGAGGAGTTTTGTTGGAATTCTATATTTTCAAAACACAAATCATCAATATTAATAACATAACCTATATATATATTTTAAAATCTGTCCTCCAGTGGAAGTTTCCTAAGCCGCAGTCTAGATACTTCTAGACTGTGCCTCAACTATAGACGGGAAGCGTTCATGAGATTAAATAAATTTAGCACGCATATTTCCGTTATAACTGTGGACCCACTTCGTTTATATGCAAATTTTACATAAAACCAAAGACGTTACGTCCTTGTATTAATCTTTAAAAAGTAACATTAAATTCATTGATATAACTTTTCTACTTCACTTAAATTCAGAGAGTCGTATTTTCTGCTTCTATCAAGCGTGCTGTGATATTCTACCCTTATGGTTAGGCAACACACCTTTACATCTGAAACAAAAATATGATATGCTCTGTGTATAACCAATCGAAAGTTTTGCGCAGATGCCGAATACTAGGGGATTTTCGTTACGAAGCTAGGAAAAAAAAGAGCGTGGAAGAAAGAAGATGGAAATGAGGTCGACGGAAGGTATCACGCTTTCCCGGTTTTTTATTATTCTTGATTATTTTTGGTGGTGGTGTTTTGAAGATGTATTTACAGGTAGTAACCATTTTATTCTTTCTTGTACTAGATATTTAATCATTGAATTTCTTGCCACAATGTGATATTAATTACATAAAATAATTGCATAAACTACGATATCTGAATCATGGTGTACTCCATGCCTTTGTTTGAGTACCGTTGTCTGAATCTTGTTTGTTTGTTGTACTGTACAGGTGATTATACCATTAATTTGTTTTATTAAGTATTTATTCCTGTATTCAGAAGAAGTTGATTATCAGTGCGATGTTGCTCTGTTCGATTGATACGTAACTATTCCGTGAGGTAAGTACCTAATACAATTTGATTATTCGCTGTATCTGTTACTTTCTTATTCGTGGCGCGCTGCCGTTCCTGTGCGTTAGCTATACGAAGAGGGGCTCTCTTATTTGATGTTTATGTGTGCGAGTGATTCATTCTGTCTCCGTGGAGTAGTTACCTAATACAGTTCGATCTTCCGCTGCATCCGTTGCCTACTCGTCTGGTGCGGTTTGCAGTTCTTAGCATATTAGCAATGCGAGTAGGAGGAGCTAGTCGCGATGAGTGTGACTGAGATCTGATTATACCCCACTGCCCCCACACTGGCTGTCAACAGTTTTTTCCCAGAGTTGCCAACGGTAAGAATAGGGTAAGTCAACGTTTTCAGTGTCGGCTAGATAGACGTCGCGATTGTGACTGAGATAGTTATACCGCCACCCCATTCTGTCACACGGCTTCAACGTTACGCCTATTCCGGTTTCCTTTCCAGTTACGTTGTTTATGATCGTTGATGGACAATGCAACTTAAGTTCGTTTATTGATGCACTAGAAAAGTGTTAACTTCGTATCGTTTTTTATTACAAAACGGAGAAAAACACTCCATTTCATGATATAGGCAGACGGGGCGCAATTAACGCAATCACGTGGTCATATTTATTTTAACCTAGAAATTATAGCCTTTGTATCTTCTTCGATTGACTGTTATGGTTTGCGATTTGTTTTATTTGGACATCTGCAATGAATATTTATACACATTCCCACGATTTAGTACTTGACCAGCCAAAATGTACAAAATTTAGAGGTTATGTTTAATCATCATTCGCTCCATACCGTTCGTTTATTGTACAGTTATTAATTTGTTCCAGTGATCACGTGACCTTTTGCATCGTCCGCTTTGCTCACTGCTGAAACGGATAATCGTACGCACCATTAAGAAAAAGATGATTCCTTCCCTAAAGACGGAATTATTGCATTAGAGGGTTTATTTGCAGTTCCGTTGTTATCGTTATACTGCTTCTGCGCAGTTGCCCTAACGAATTCCTTTATTTACAGACTGTTTAAAATGCATGATAGCCGCATTTTAAATTAATTGCGTTCAAATAGACTGGAATCTTCAGATATATCTATTTATTAAAATACAATATAGGTTCCTTTTACGATGTTCTGTTTCGCCGACGGAGGCCGTGCAGTATTTTCTTTAATTTATTTCGGCGCACGCACTTCTTTATACAAAGACGAGATTCTAAGGCCGTTATCGGTATATTAACAATTTCACAATTACCTTTGACTTTGAATAATCATTTTTAGGCTTCTTACTTCTGGTTTACTCTCTTTTCTTCATTATTACCTACTGGATTGTGATTTCTATATCGATATTCTTGAGCGGAACCCGCCGAATTTTGGATTTTCTTAATATTAAGCAAGGAAGATTTATTTGGGGAGGTCCACCGCCATCTTATCAAGTCAAGCACGCCATAGATAAGTTTCTATATTACCGGCTAGGTAAATTCTACACGAAGTTTGTTGACCTGCACTTCTTGAATTGTAATCACAAGTATTAACGAACCGTTTGGAGAACATTACTCGTGTAAATTGTTTCGATATCTCTTTTTTTACACACCACTTTGTTTATTCTGGGTTACACCACAACTACACTTGAAATTTGAAAATTAACGCAAATTAAGTAACTTTAGCCAATTGTAACAGTACATCAGAGATACTCAATGAGATAAGTATTACATACATATATAATTGAATAACAACAAGAGGCTGGATAAAGGTATATTTGGTTGTTTGTCCATATCAGCACATATAAATCTTACGAAACTTTTTGTATTAAAAAAGTCACTTGAAGAGGTGTTTATTATTTATACCATAATCATCAACCATCAACTTTATGTTTTAAAAGATGTTTTTTAAGATGGAATTTAAAATTTGTCTCAAAGTCACAGCGAGCACATTTAAAATCTTTCAAAACTTTATGTTTTAAACGGTGCCGTTTTAAATTGCGTTTCGAATTTGTCCCATAATCACAATCAGCACACTTCAAATCCTTAGAAGCCTTATGTTGTAAAAGATGTTGTTTGAAGGCACTTTTATCATTTGTCGCATAATCACAAGTAGCACATTTAAAATCCTTACAAACTTTATGTGTCAAAAGATGTTGTTTAAGGTTGTGTTTATAATTTGACTCATAATTACAATTACCACATTTAAAATCCTTAGAAACTTTATGTGTTAAAAGATGTTGTTTAAAGTTACTTTTATAATTTGTCTCATAAGCACATTCGGCACATTTAAAATCTTTAGAAACTTGATGCGTTAAAAGATGTCGTTTGAAGAGGTGTATATTACTTGTTCCATAATTACATGAAGCACATTTAAAATCCTTCGAAACTTTATGTGTTAAAAGATGTTGCTTGAAGTGCCGTTTATCATTTGTCTTATAATCACAATCAGCACATTTAAAATCCTTAGAAACTTTATGTATTAAAACATGTCGTTTCAGGAGGTATTTAGTATTTGTCTTATAATAACAAGTAGCACATTTATAATCGTTAGAAGCTTTATGTGTTAAAAGATGTTGTTTAAAGTGGCTTTTATTACTTGTTCCATAATTACAATTAACACATTTAAAATCCTTAGAAACTTTATGTGTTAAAATATGTTGTTTAAAGTTGCTTTTATTATTTGTCCCATAATCACAATTAGCACATTTAAAATCCTTAGAAGCTCTATGTATTAGACGATGTCGATTAAAGTTGCCTTTAACATTTGTCCCATAATCACAATCAGCACAATTAAAATCCTTAGAAACTTTATGTATTAAAACATGTCGTTTCAGGAGGTATTTAGTATTTGTCTCATAATAACAAGTAGCACATTTAAAATCCTTACAAACTCTATGTGTTAAAAGATGCTGTTTAAAGTTGTGTTTATAATTCGATTCATAATTACAATCAGCACATTTAAAGTCTTTAGACAGTGTTTTACACGAAGTTAAAAAATTTCCTTGTTGTACTTCTTCCTTACAAAGAGATTTAGAACATAAGGTACCAATAGTAACTTCGTCCTTGATTGTCACCAAGGCATCGTTGCTTATTGAAATGTGTCCCTGAAGATCGGCATCGATTTCTTTTTCTTGTTTTGGTTCGATTTTAATGAGTAGTGTGTCATTATCTCCCTCCATACCTAACAACCATACTGTGATAAATAAATGTGTTCAAAATCTATTTTGGTATTAAACACTAGTAGTTTTCTAATGTTAATTCATTAATCAAACAAAATCTAACGCTCAGTGTTGTACCTGTTTGTATTTGTGAAATATACGGTTATCGTATGTTTAAATGTAGAAAAAAGATACTTACCGAAAATATTAAAATTCTATCACAATACGTGTTCTTTAAATGCCACGTGAATTTAGCTACTCTCACCGAAAAATCATGAGAAGGTAGGTTCAACTCAATGCAGCGTTGCCAAATCGTATTGTATGATTGTAATTATTATTGAAATAAAAGACTAGTAGAGTCACTGTAAAGACTAGGAGCTTACAGAGCCACCATGCTCACAAAAGCCCCGGAAAATATGCGAACTAATTTTGAAATAATTCAGGCTGGCCAAGTCTGCAAAACGACGCGATACATTCCGCGCTATAATTACCTATTAATTATTCCATTTTGACAGTTGACGCTTCACGTTTTTTAGTTCACACTTTTTATATTTGCTTTATTTTACGTTTTCCGTCTCCAGTTTTATACCAACTCGTCTTTTTCAAGACGCATATAGCTTGGATGGGTTAGTGTTTTTAAATTTTGTGCCAGAATGCACGGTCTACATTTCTAGCGCCCCCTGTCAGGGACCCCCGCCAGGGACTTTCTGAGCGTGGTGCCACTGTATATATTATGTATCATAACACAACATATTACAAAAATGTTAGAAACCATACACGTATTAAGAATAATTGTTATAAACGTAATTATGTAATTTAAATTTCCCAAAGGAATTCCCGTCCACTATCTGCGAACGTAGAAGGAATAATTTTTTTAAATCTAGTGTACTGGTATCCGGTATCTGCTAGGGAACTTTTGCGGTCTCGTTCAAGGTTGTTTTATTAGAAATAAAATAACCTTGGGTCTCGTTAAGATTTTCAAAACTACCCAGGCGTTACCATAACAGTAAAAAGCACTCTAAAGTAATCGATACAAAGAATAAAACGCCATTATCCGTACAAGATTTTCAGCAATTGTTTTGAAGTCATTTCTACTGTAGTGTACCCCATGTTCTACGCTAACTTCACATTACAACAACACGGAAGTAAAGTCAACCCGGCAACGTTTAAAAATGGCCACCCGAATTACTATTCCCTCCAAAACTAAACAAGATTCCGCTTAAAATTTGAAAAGTGGCACGTGATCAAACATCTAAGGCAGGACCCCTTACGTTAGTTGTAGACAACGCTTTGTCCTGAAGCATAGTAGGGAAGGAACGTAAAATAAAACACCCAAATTGTGAAAAGTTTGTTTAATAATGATCGCAATTATTAAGATTGTGAAAGCTGGGAAATTTAAGTCGAAATAAATTACATTGCAAAAATAAACTTTGAAAATGGTAGTTCACCGAATCAAAATAGAAATAGGCTGGGAGAAGAAAAACTCACCAATAAAAAAACCAGCCATCAAATAAAAATCAAATTGTTTGCAATGATGTGAATGTGTAACAGAAAATTATAACATCACAAAAGTAGCAGGTAAACTGAATGTCGAAAACAATCACGGAATTAGGTGTCGCAGCTCAATATTGACTACAGTTTTTACCACATCCGTCACTGCTTCATTCACGGAGAAAATTGTTAGTAACAAACAACAAGTCTGTACATACATCAAACGAATCGGTAATTTCCACATATTAAAATAAAATGATAAAAACTTATATGAATGTTACTTTAGGGACAAGACCAAGAAATCAACACATAAACATAAATTAAGCATACATTACACCAAAAACGTAAACAATTACAAACAATAGCATAACGGTATCACATATGTGATTCTGCATTGCGGTTAAACCTAGTAATTTCAAAAACAAAGATTCAAACACCCATAAAATATAAAATGTGGCATACAAAACACAAATATGACATAAAGAAAAGCAAAGATTACCACCTGCATTAAAAAACACAAAGTAACAACAAACATTTATGGAGCGACGCGTTCACGACCGCCAATCAAGACAAGATGCCTAACGTAACCCTCGTTCGTGCTTTTTAGATGGCGCGGGCAGCTTTTTCCCCACCTAGAAATTGCATGGTTGCCAACTCTCAAACATGTATGTATCGTCGTTGTATATACAGGGTGGAACCTCTCAGTATATACACTAAACAAAAACTACTTTAAACATATACGACATATACCCTCCAATACAGCACTGCTAATAAGACTTAAAGTGCCCGTAACATATGAAAACCAAACACTTTTAGGGTTGTGGACTGCACAAAAAAAGAAAATTTGACATTGAGTCAAGAGTACATATACTTACAGTTACAAATTAAACTTATTACAAGACCTTAACAGTAGGCAGGTACCTTAAAACTAACAAATCGCAAACAATAAACAAAACATTTGTTATGTTATGTTAGTACTACCGGAATAATCTTAATTATTAGGTAAAGTTAGTCGTTTGAAACATGTGTGTCAAAACGTGTTTTTCGAGATGGTGTTTATTATGGGTTCCGTAATTACAATTGGCACATTTATAATTAATAGAGACCCTGTTGCTTAAAGACTGCCTAAAACTTTGCCTGTAATTATAATTAATACATTTCAAGTCTTTTTTAACATGTGTCACCTGGTGTGTTACGAAGTGGTTTTTCTTGTTGGTTCCATAATCACACTTGGCACACATAAAATTAATAGCAACCTTTTGCCTAAAGTTATCTTTACTCTTTGTCCGGTCATTGTAATTAATTAATTTGAAACCTTTTGATACTTGTGTCACAAGGTGTGTTTGGGAGTGGGACTTTTGGTTAGTTCCATAATTACACTTCGCACGTGTCAAATAACCTATACAGCGTTGCTGGCAATGTTGTTTAAGGTTGTGTTTATTCTTTGTTGTGAAATCGCAATTATAACATTTAAAGCCTTTGTGAACCTCACGGTGTTGTTTGAGCTGCAATTCACTATCCGCTGTATAAGTGCAAAAGTTACATTTAAAATCGTTCGAAGATGGATAATTACTACTCAAACTGCAATCAGTTTGTTGCTGTTCGTTTTCATTGTAAGACAACTGGCAATACTGTGTACTCAAGGTAATTTCGTCCTTTATTGTAACCAGGGTATTGTTGCTGACGAAAACAGTTCCATCAAGAGACGAAGTTATTTCGTTTTCTTGTTCAGGTTCGATTTTAACAATTGGTGTGCCATCATCCTCCTCCATAACAACTAACAAAATGTTACCAAGAAAACTCCATTTGACAATTTTTCGTTATTTCATACTTCGAAAGAGACGATAAACTAAAAGCAAGCAATTTGAGAAAAGCTACCTATTCTTCCAGAAGCTAGAATCTCACCCAAATCTATTGTCTTGTTTTTATTCACAGTTTATCACTAGTTTGAGATACACAAGAGCGAGAAATAAATAAAAATCAAATGTCAACTTTCATTATCCATAGCTGACATGGCTGTGGTTATTCCACCGACAATTAGTACTTTGAGTAAAATCCGGACACCGTGTTAAGCTGATTCACAACGTCCAATTAATGTTTAAAATTCATTAGTGAAATTATTACGTCAACTTTACGTAAAGGAATCATTCGCAATGTATGAAATTAATTTGTAAAATAAGAATATAAGCAGTGGCGCCATCTATGTAACAGAAGTTAATACGGCAACTTTCACCATATCTTGTAGAATGTAGCGTAACCGCAAGTACAAAAATCGGGCCTAATCCTAATGCGGCAAGGAACTTTTGTGTTCTCCCCATTCATTGTAGACGTAACAGAATCGAAACAAGAAAGGCATGGTTATGTTGACTGTCATATAAAAGCACGCATGCGTACCTCTGTTAATTTCAGTAAAATTAAGCGGCAAAGTTTGCAGTTTGCAAACTTCTGCGTTAAGTATTAATTCTAACGATTAATTTTCAATATTGTGAATGTTGCCCTTTAAAATACATAGCTTATGGCCGTTTGTACCAACAAATTTAGTGGAGCTTAGCTTAAGCGTAGCTTAATATCCATGGCAACTATTATTGAGACAATGGTTGTCATGGATTTTAAGTTACGCTTAAGCTAAGCAAACGTTTACGCTAATTTTGAATTGTTAATTGTGCGTATTAATTTTAAGGTTGTGCTTGTAAATACTACTTTAGGTAATGTGTCACTAAAGTTACTTAAAAGTATCGCAATTCATTGGGCCTGTGTATTAGATCGAGAACGCACGATTTTTGCCCAAAAATGGCGGACGTTACCCGATTCTATCATTTTAAGAAGGTAGCGGTAGAAAGTATAGGGAAGTTTTGACCTTCAGTGTGATTGGTTAAAACACGAGTCAGTATTACGCTGAAACATAAAACGAGTGGCGAATTTTGCAAACTGGTAGTTTCTGTTGCCAACTAAACTGTTGAAGTGTCATTAGCTGTTAATGTCAAAGATTTATTTCTGTTTGCAGTGATGGATATTTGTACTTTACAATACTTTTGTCCCGTTTTATATTTTTCCTGTGTGTGCTTATCTTCAAACACAGCGCCATCTACTACCTCCTTATAATGAATGCAGTATAGTACCAGTAGCAAAAGCGGGAAAAACACGAACTCGGAAAACCAGCGTAGTAATACACACCTCGCACTTAACAATGGCCGGATCTGTACGTAGTGAAAAACCAGATGGATCGTGGACAGACTTTATGAGCTAACCAATCACAGACAAGAATTGAACTGTCATTTGTCAGTTTTGTACCTATTTTGTTTTGTTTTTGCATTATGGATACTAAAATAAAAAAATAGGGCAACGACTGACGCCCAGAAACAATTGTTAAAAGAGTTTGGAAGGCCGTTATTAATAACCAGAAAATCCTCGAACAATTCCAGGTTTTATTTCACAGAAAATATGTGAATGTATAGGTTAGGGCACTGGACAACCCAAGCAACATAGCTGAAAGATACGTCCTGTAACTGCAACTGCGCATGACTTTCACGCAACGAGTGGTTTAGCTAGACCAGTCGTTGTGTTCGATCAACTTATCGCTCGATTTTGGTAGGTTCGAGAATACAGTCACATTCATGCTACCATCAAGGTCAGTCGATGTGAACAAAGCACATCTTCGGGAATCGACGCGTTGCATCAGTCATACCAAAGTTTATTATCGGAAAGGTGGAACGCAAATAATCCACTTATTAAATGTGAAAAGCAAGAGAAAGTTTATTGAATAATTGATCAAGTGTTAAATGAATCAAAATGCTAAACACAAAAAGTACTGAAAGGTTCCATCCTGTATATACAACTTACGACGATGCACACATTTTTGAGAGTTGGCAATCACGCAATTTTTAGGAGGGGAAAAGCTGCCATCTTAAAAGCACGAACGGGGCCGTTACGTTTGGGATCTTCTCTTGAATGACGGTCGTGAACGCATAAACGATTGTTGTTATTTTGTGTTATTTAATGCAGGTAGTAATTTCTGCATTTCTTTATATCGTATTTGTGTTTTGTATGCCCCATTTTATTTGTGTGTGTGTGTGTGTTTGAATCTTAGTTTTTGAAATTTACAATGCAGAATCACATATGTGATACCGTTATGTTATTGTTTGTAATTGTTTACGTTTTTGGTATAATGTATGCTTAATTTATGTTTATTGATGTTGATTACTTGGTCTTGTCCCTGAAGTAACATCCATAGGTATAAGTTTTCATTTTATTTTAATATGTGGAAATTACCAATTCGTTTGATGTATGTACCGATTTGTTGTTTGTTACTAACAATTTTCTCCGTGAATGATGCAGTCACGAGGGTGGTGAATGATGCAGTCACGAGGGTGGTGAAAACTGTATTCAAAATTGAGCTACGACACCTAATTCCGTGATTGTCTTCGACATTCAACTGTAGGCTCGAAACCCCGAAACCAGGGGCGGGTTACCTATCTTGCAGGAGCGGGACTACGCTAATCAAAGCTCTTCAGTTTAGAATCTATGTGCGATAAATGAGTGACGATTCAATAATTTCCACATATCTTGTTTTAGTTAAATTTGCCTACAAGGGCATGTAATTTTCCGTCTCGCTTTTAACAAAAGGACTTTATTGCACCAAATATGAGTTACATCCTGTGTATTTCACCCTTTCTTAGATTCGGTACCTGCTCACTTGGCTTATAATTCCCAAAACTTGTTTTTAACCTATATGTTACCTCTTGAAGTCTACCTGCTACTTTTTGTGATGTTATAATTGTATGTTACTCATTCACATCATTACAAACAATTAATTTTACTACACTATTTAATATTAATTTGACGGCTGGTTTTTTATTGGTAAGTTCTTTTTTTTGCCAGCCTACTTCTATTTTGATTCGCTGAACTACCATTTTCAAAGTTTATTTTTGTAATGTAATTTATTTTGACTTACATTTCCAAGCTTTTACAATCATAATAATTGCGATCATTATTAAACAAACTTTTTACAATTTCAGTGTTTTTCGTCCCTTCCCTACAGGGCTTCAGGTTACAGCGTTTTTTACAACTAACGTAAGGAGGCCCTGTCTTAGATGTTTGATCACGTGCCACTTTTCAAATATAAGTAGCATCTTTAGTTTTGGAGGGAATAGTCATTCGGGTGGCCATTTTTAAACGTTGCCGAGTTGACTTTATTTCCGTGTTCTTGTAGTGTGGTGTGAAGTTAGCGTACCTGGGGGTTAAGTACAAAAATACATAAAATGTATCGGTAATTAGCCGGACCTCCCCCAATCCAGCATCTATCTAAGGTCCTGGATACGGTAACCTTAAACTAAAGTTTTATTTCGAGATGAATGTCGCTAAGTATATTTTCACTTCGGCATCTACCTCTGCAGGGGCGAAAAGGTTAATGACACTCAGAAAAGGCAAATTCGTACACAAAGAATTGAAGCCGCTAATCAATCTAAATAAGTTCAAACAATCATATTAAAATTAATAACTGGCGAATCTCAAACAAATTGAAAAGGAATAACATTTACAATGAAGGGAACACCATATATTTCAAAATCACTTACGTCAGAGACAAACAACTGAAGGCAACATAATAGTAATTATAACGTGAGGTTAGTTCGGCGCTGTAAAACTCAAACCCCGCCGCATAAACGGCCAGCTAGCTCAGATTCTTAATTAAAAGAAGGGCTCGAGATGAGAATCTTCCACAGCGGTTTGTTCGTTTGGGCATATAACATAAGTTTTTGATCTTTGGTAGTCACTAGAAATGATTAGTTGAGCGCCACCCAATTTTGCACAAATTCTGACCTCTCCTGTATAGAAATTGGGAAAACACAAGAGAGCCAAATAATAAATTCACTACGAGCAATTCTGATTTATTAATCCTGGCAAAGACGGTGCAGGATCGGCAAATAAAATGTATCTTCAATACGACAATAACAAATACTTTAACGGACAAAAATAATCCCCAAATAAATTCATGAACACTTCCCTAATAATTACGTTACCAGACCCCTACAACAATGATCGAGCAAAAGTGTAGTTAAGATTTCAATGGATTCAAAGATTGAATTAAGTTAACCCGAATAACAACTCATATAGGCAACACTGGGTACAAGTAAATTAAAAATCTTACCTTGAATAACACATACGCTGTCTTCTCCGAAAAAGAGCTCTCCTTCGAAGTTCCAGTTCTGTAACACAAAAACAAACCCCAAGCTACAACGCTCGGAACGATTATATGAGCCGGAAGGGCCAAAAAAAATAGCTTACTCGTAGCCGGCTCGTTTACCCATACGTTAAATACAGGTGCGTTGCTCTTGAAGAGAGCCACGACCTCAAACACTAGATGCGAACAAAATACAAAGCTCCAATCATAAATCGTCGGAAGGTTACACTAGATTAACGGTATTGAAGCAAATAAAAAAAAAAGGTTGTGTAAAAGATCGTATCTTCCGAAAATTCCACAATCAGCTGGTCGCTCCCGGTATCGTTTAGGTGTTAGCGCTTATCTACTCGGTGGTACGCCGGATAGCTGCCGGCAATCAACAGGTGTTCGTACTCCGGAATATTCGCAAGATGCAAATTCATTTACTATCCCAAAATTATGCCAGGTCAATGTCCTCCGCACACAAGAATGTGCAAGGATATACTATAAACTATACCATACAAGGATTCGTCGGTACAAGGATTGACCGGTACAAGAATTCATCTACTACATGGATTGACCTGAAATCGCCAGGAGGGTAATGAAAAATACTTAAATCAATGAAATATGGAAATTATCCAACCTCAAATTGTGAATATGTAGGTAGGGCGATGAACTTCTACCAGATATAGCCTCGCAATGGAGAAAACGGCTTCTGAGTTACACTACTCGACCACGCCAATAAAAAGGTAAAATTGCCAGAGATTTCACGTGAATGATGGCAAATATTACCCACTGGTTTAAGAAGAATTCACAATGCCACGCTCTACAACAAGTACCACCTCGTTGGCTTTAAAACGGAAATGAAGTGAAAAAATAACGCGATTCTGCGCGAGGAAAGAAACACGCGTACAAGTGACGCCATCTCACCTATATCCTACCTAACCTAGCAAGCGGTAATTTTGAAATTTGAATATGAATAAACTAAATTGTTACATAATTTCAATTAAAACTAAGTGCATTGCGTTTTTGCAAATGGGCAATGAATGGCACAAATTGAACTTAACTCAATGGATGCAGAAAGTACTAAAGTAGTCCCCTCAAACATAAAATGAATCGCTAAAAACCTAACTTGGCAGCTAATTCAACACACCATTTCCTTCTTATACAGACCAACATCGTTTTAAAACGCCGACATCGAAAATTATTACATTGTTAAATGAACAGTAAACCCATGCTACATGTGCAAATACTTTCGAACGGCGTCTCTATATACGCCAACGGTACTGGTCGTTTGGAATCTAACATCTCACGACAATCCCTCTTATCCTACGCCGTTGTGTCTGAACAATTTTGAACATTTTCATGTAAATAAGATCCTCATGAGAATTGCGCGATTATATGCCGTGTCTGGACAAAGCCGTATGGTTGTAGGCTGCATAAAATGAAAAAAATTTTACATTGAGAGAAGAGTACATACAGTGAGTTTTTTAAAAATGCGAACATAGGAGTTTGCATGCAATGTAATTTCCCTATGTTCGATTTTTAAAAAAACACATCAATCTATGAGGTGTGCGTGGTTCACATTCCCAAAACGCTCAACTTGTGTGACTATGAACAGCAACTCTAATAGTCTTTATGATGAGAGCACTCGGTAAGATTTTTTTAAAGAAGCCATGTGAGGCCATAGCAACTTTAGGATACATTTTTCTTAAACTTACGATAACTTGACTTCACATGGCACGCACTGACATCACAATTCATTGTGAACCAACCTTCAATTATTTGTAGGTCATGTGCACCTGGTATTCTACTAATTTGATCTATTCAATACATAAATGAAGAAAATAAGAAAATAAATACCGAAATCAATTACAATAAATGTTCGAAGTGTCCTCCTTGACATTCTAAGCAATAACCTAACCGATTTCGTAATTAAATTGGACGGCGGTATTTTTAAAAATGTGACAGCTGTCAATTGTATCTACTACACATTTGAACTACTCAATAGATTGATGTGTTTTTTTAAAAATCGAACATAGGGAAATTACATTGCATGCAAACTCCTATGTTCGCATTTAAAAAAAATTCACTGTATATGTACTTATATTCACAAATTAAACTTATTACCAAAAACTTAATAGTAGACATCTTAAAAATACAAATCGGAAACTATAAATAATACAAAAATGTATGCGACTGCAACGGCATAATCTCAATTATTCAAATATTTGGTCTTTTGGAACGTGTCAAAAGGTGTCTTTGGAAATGAGATTTTTCATTGGTTCCATAATCACATATGGCACACTTAAAATTAAGCTGAGAGTGTGGTCTAAGCTTGTTTTTTCTTTTTGTTCAACAACCACAATTGGCACATTTTAAACACATTACTAGCTTTGCGTGTCAAAACGTATATTTTATTATTATTATTTTTTTAAAACATTATGTCTGCACTATTACAAATAATACAACTTACCTAAATTTTCATATGCCTACAGAACACGTAAAGTATTTACAAATCCAGCATCCTGCCCCACTTTACGCTGCAAAGGACTTCGCCATTGCACCACTGATCTTTGAAGCTGTCCATTTGATTCATGCCTTTATGCCAGTTATTAATATTTTAGGTAGGCATTACGAAGGGACGTCGGATACGTGTCGTTTTTCAATTGAATATATATATTTATATTATATATATTTATTTTTATGTTTGTCTTGAAATCAAAATGAGCACACATTTAAAATTCTTAAGGTTAAAATGTGATTTGAAATCGATTAAAATCTTTAGACATGGTGTGTCAAAACATGTGCATTCAAATGAGTTTTACTATTCGTTACATAATCACAATTAGCACATATAAAATGTTTCACTTTCATATGTCGTGTGAGATAACGTTTTGCGTGTGTCTCAAAATCACAAACAGCACATTTAAGATCTTTGGAAGGTTTGTGTTTTCGAGCGTGGTGTTTCAAATAGTTTTCATTATTTGTCACATAATCGCAATTAACACATTTAAAATCTTTTGCAGCATGTGTCAAAAGGTGTTTTTTCAAATTGCCCTTAAAATTGCTTTCATAATTACATTTGGAACAGTTAAACACATTGGAACCTTTGTGTGTCAAAAGGTGTCTTTCGTGGTGGTATTTACTATTGGTTCCATAATTGGCACATATAAATTTAGTAGACACCTTATTATGTCTCAAATTCTGGCGACAGTTATCTCCGCCGTCTTTTGAAACGTGTGTCAAAAGATGCGTTTGGAAGTGGAATCTTTTATTGGTTCCATAATTACACTTCCCACATTTAAAATTAACTTTGTGTCTTAAACAGTGCCGTCCAAAGTTATGTTTACTCATTGTCTTGAAATCACAATTAAAACATTTGAAGCCTTTATGAACCTTGTGGCTTAGATGGTGTTGTTTGAGCTGCAACTCACTATCCGTTGCAAAACGGCAAAAGTCACATTTAAAATGGTCCAAAGTTGGAGAATCAGATTGTTGCTGTTCGTTTTCACTGGAAGGCAATTCGGAATACTGCGCGCTGATGGAAATTCCCTCACTTATTGTAACCGAAGTATCGTTGCTAACCAAAACGGTTCCATCAAGAGAAGAATGTATTTCGTTTTCTTCTTCGGGTTCGATCTTAACAAGTAGTGTGCCATCATCCTCGTCCATAGCAAGTAATGTTACCAACAAACCTCCCTTTTATCAACAGTTTTCGTACTAAACGATAAACAATTGGTAATTATTCGTTAAAGAGCATTTCATATTTACTGTACTGCACTAGAGGCCAGGAAAATGTGTTGTATTAGAGTGCAAAATTTTATTATACGATAGCTGCTCCAATATTTTGCTTCAAAAGAAACGATCAACTAAAAGCAGGTAAATGGATAATAGCTATCTATTCTTCGAAAAGCTAGAATCTCACCCAAATGTGTGTTGTTTTTATTCACAGTATATAACTTGTTTGGGATTAATAAGGGTAAAAATCTCATAGCAAGAAATAAATGACAGAAAAATTCCATTCTAAAGGCGCGTTTACACGAATCCAGCAGCTGGCACCACTGGCATCGAGTGACTACTTTTTTGTGCCAGTCCAGTGAACGTGTATTCTTGAAAATCTGCATTCGGGAGTGTTCCCGAGATAACTCACTTTCATTCCCGGAAACCAAAATGACGTATTCTTGAACACTTTCCCAGTTCCGTTCTGGGCGCACAGAGTTGCCAAATGTCACCGAACTTTTCAAAATTCAAATCATTTGGAAAACCAACCGAGTAATTTAACCTCACTTTCCGATGTTGTACGGCAGCGAATGCAATTTGTACACACTGTTGTGATGTTGAACCCCTACCGATAGGCAACGCATCTTACTACTAAAGGAATTTTAAAATCCCGTTCTGCGCAGACGTCAATTTAGTACAGGAAGCTGGAGAGTGGCGTCGGCGGGAGCACTGGTGGTCCAGATTTTGATGGTGGCGTATCGGTTTTGTGTGCTTTTCATAGTTTAGTGTTTGATATATTTTTCCAAGCGATATCAAGGTAGTACTCGTTTTATTTAAGTTATTTTAAATTCGATGTTTAAATTTCATGCCTTATTTGGTTTCGTTTTGAACTTTGCTTTAGATTTTACCTCTGCTGATTGCAGGCATGGCGTGGGCGGCTATTGTTTGAGTTTACCGTTAAATAAGTCATGTTTTAGCTTGGCTCCCTTGCGCACCTGATTATGCCGCAATGTTTCCCATGATTATTTGAATGTGTTTACGCGGGAGTGGATTGCCAGAATGTTACTGCCCTGAATGTTTGGATTAATAATTTATTTTCGTGGAAGAGAAGAACCACGTGCAGGTTGCTCTGTCGCTGTATATGTTTCTTTTTTTCATCTCGCGCAGGTTGCAGTTCTTAGCGTCTCGCATTGCGAGAAAGGGGGGCCCTCTGATTAATTTCTCTTCTGTTTAAAATGTGGATTTTGTATGTGGTGTGGTCTGCTTCCGCTTGAATACCTGTGTGGGCATTCTCAGGTGCACGTGCACTTTTCAGGTAATAAATGAATGATAAGCAAGATCGGGACAAGGTCATGCCTGCTCTACGTTGTTTAAATTGAACCTTTGATGTGTTTTTTTTTCAGGTAGTGTTTTATACCCCAATGATTTATTTTGTTCACAATTTGTAATAATGTCATGTGTATCTATCGTTTTTGATTAATTTGTTCTAGCCACAATTGCCGCGATTACTTGATTTTTATTGTACGATTTGAGATGTTTAATTTTCGTATTTCTGTTTGTACATTGTTACCTGTAATTGATTTATTTCTTGTATTTGTGTTATTCCAAGTTTTTTTTATTGCTGGTTCTTTTTTCCTGGCTATTCGGTTTGGATTTGCTCTGCTGAACCAAGCCCCGTGCGTAATCAATTTCATTTTCTCATGCCCTTTCGGACGCACAAAAATTCTGTCTTTTATTTAATTCCCTTCCCGATTGTGTCTCACGTTCAAACACATAAAAGACCGCCATAAGAATATGACAACGTAGGAGTCCATTCGTACAATTTCGTCCAAGCCGAATGTTACCGAGATCTGAAGGTGGCGCGAAAGTCCGACATTTTGACAGCTAAAGTTAGATGGCGCTGTCTGCAATTTGTTTCCCCAGAGTTGCCAACTGTAAGTACAGGGTAAGTCAATATTTCCAGTACCGCCTGAGGACCCCTAGGAACATTACATGTCTTAGTGGTTTAATGAATTGCAGTGTCAATTTGAATCTTCTCGAAGGAAGTTATTCAAGATTTATGTCATTGAAGTTATCCACGTCCATAGTTAACGAGGAATACAACATTCTCACACTTTATATAGCTTATGTGGTTATAATTAAATGACTAATAACGTAGGAACTAGATACGAGTAAACTCGTAGAGTAAATGTTATTAAAAAACTCTGGCGCTAACTCCAAATTAATGAAACAAGGTAGATCCTCCATCACCGCCGTTCTGTTAGCAAACGCCCATTTACATTGTTTTAACGTTTGTCAATTTTTTCTTTTTTTTTGCTTAATCGTTGTGAAAATTTAGTTAGGTCGTTTTATATGACGTTTGGAATGTTATAAAGGCGAAAAAAGCAGAAAAAAACTTGATTCGGCTCAAAAAAGAACCAATGTATTATGATAAATAAGTACTTCCTTTTTTAGCCAATCTCATCGTATAGGTTGGTAAAAATGCTTATCATTTTAAGACTGCTAGAATATGTATATTTCGCACAAATACCTGTCAAAATGCGGTATTTACTTAAAGAAGACATCGCTCGGCTTCGGCGGCTGCTCCGCCTCGCCTCGAGCGCCGCAATATAGGAGACCAATGTAAAAAACCGTATCGTTGTTGTTGGTTGCGTAGTCGGAGGGTAGGTATGAATACAAGACCAACGTAAAAAACAGCACCGTTCTAGCCCTCAGCGTTTCCGTATAAACGTCAAAACGACGAAAAAATGTCGTTTAATGGTCCAGGGGTGGTTAGTGGAGGGGTGAAGGCGCGAAAAGGACGTCTGCGGAAAGACATCGGTGACTATCTAATAACATACCCTTCCCGATGCCGTTCGGTTGCCGTAAATATTTTTTACGGGCGATTATTCTACAACTCGAATTTGGTCCGATTTTCGTTCGGAAATTAGCCCCGCTCGCCCCCTTCGTCGTAGGGGGTCGGATGGTGTGGCGTTGGTTGGGGGACGTTTCGGGCCACATTTGACCATTTGTAGGTTCTTCCTAGGTCGTCGCGAAGGACAAAGCGGAGCCACGACGATGATGCCAAACTTTAGTAGTTATACAAGGCGGATCCTGGACCACTTCAAGGTGGTAACCTTAGAAAGTAGGTGAAGGTCACGCGGCGATTACTTTGGGATTAGGTCAAGGTGAAAGTTGAGTGACACGTGATCGGTGACCTTGAAAATTATCACAAAGGCTTTCAAATGAGACGATTTTCAAAGACCCCGCAAGACGAAAAGAGTGGGTAATCAGAATGACATGACATCACTTCGCACTAAATTGTAGTCTTTAATTGTAGCATAGGACATAAAACTTCGCGACCGTACTGGGAGAAGGGGGGATAACTGTGGGTTATGTTGGATCAAAACAAACGTGTTAGAAATAGCGTATGCGTCATCTATCTTTATACTCTACCGTTGAGTGAAAACTCTACTCAAAAGCCTATTCACGCCATTTGTAAATTACACCAGCGCCTCTAGTGTTAATCTCAATCGTGAATACCCACAATAATTTTTTTCCATAATGTTGGCAGCATAAACCAGTGGAAAATCAATGTAGATAAGTTCATGTTGTTGAAAATAAAATGGCGTAATTGGTTCGGAAAGTATTTTGCGAGTGTTTGAGTGAGGAGAAAACCCTCGGGTTAATAAGGGAAATTGTTAATGTTTATAATGTGTAAGCATTACAACTGGGATGTAAGCAACAGATCTTGGATTTTTTTCACAGAATATATCCTGGTGAGATTCTCCCTTTAGAGGAATAGCTGGTTTTTCTCAAATTGTTTGCTTTTAGTTTATCAAGCAAGATTGCTACTATTGTAATAAATTTGTACAGTACCAAAACAGTTGATAAACCAAACGAGAGTTGTAAATACCATTCGTTGCTGCTATGGACGAGGATGATGGCACACCACTTGTCAAAATCGAACTTGAACAAGAAAACGAAATACATTCTTCTCTTGATGGCACCGTTTTCATCACCAACGATGCTTTGGTTGCAATAAAGGATGAAATTAACCTCGGTACACAGTATTCCGAATTGTTGTATAATGGAAACACGCAACAACTAACTGATTATAAATTGAATATTAATTTTCCAACTTCCAACAATTTTAAATGTGACTTTTGCAATTACTCAACAGATGGTCATTTGCAACTTAAACAGCACCTTTTAATGCATGGGGTTTCCAAGGGCTTTAAGTGTAATACTTCTGTTTACAGTAAAGCCCATAGGCAACACTCTTTAAGACACAAAGTTTCTATTATCTTTAAATGTGCAACTTGTAATTTTGAAAGCAATTATAAGTCTCGCTTCAAAAGGCACCTTCTGACACATGCTTCGAAAGATTTTAAATGCACTAATTGCGATTATGTGACAAATAATGAGAATTATTTAAAAAGACACATTTTAAAACACAAGCTTTCCAAAGATTATAAATGCCCCACGTGTAATTACGGAACACACAGTAAATCTTACCTCGACCGACACCTTTTGAAGCATAAGGATTCTAAAGATTTTAAATGTGATAATTGTGCTTATGGGACAAACATAAAATTTAATTTCAAACAACACCTCTTGATACATGCACAGAAACACATTTCCAAAGATTTAAAATGTGACAATTGCAATTACGTAACAAACAACGAGGCCTATTTGAAACAACACGTTTTAAAACACAAAATTTCCAAAGATTTTAAATGCGCCAATTGCAGTTACGGAACCAATTATAAGGACAACTTCAAAAAACACCTCTTGACACATGTTTCAAAGGAATTTAAATGTGCTAATTGCGATTATGTGACAAACATTAAATTTAACTTCAAACAACATCTCTTGACGCACGCGCTTCCTCAAATTTTTAATTGTGCCAATTGTGATTATGTGACAAATAATGAAAACTATTTGAAACAACACATTCTAAAACACCAACTTTCCAAAGATTTTAAATGCTCCACTTGTGATTTTGGGACACACAGAAAATCTTGCTTCAAACGCCACCTTTTGAAGCACAAGGTTTCTAAAGATTTTGAATGTGCTAATTGCGATTATAGGACGAACATAAAATCTGAAATCAAACTACATGTTCTAACACACAAGGATTTTAAGAACTTTAAATGTGACATTTGTGATTATGGAACAAACACAAAATATTATTTGAACCAACACCTTTTGAAGCATAAGCTTTCTAAAGACTTGAAATGTGGCGATTGCGATTTCGAAACAAACATAGAATGCAGCTTTAAAGTACATCTTTTGTCACACAAAGTGTCTAAAGAATTTAACTGTGCCGATTGCGGTTACGGAACGAACAGTAGAGACAACCTTAAACGACACCTTTGGACACACAAAGTTTCCAAAGATCTTAAATGTACCGATTGTGATTACGAGACGAATAATAGAAGTCATTTGAAACGCCACCTTTTAACTCACAAATCTTCTAATCACTTTAAATGTGCGAATTGCGATTATGAGACAAACTATAAATCGTCCTTAAAACGACACTTTTGGATACATAAGGCTTCTAAAGATTTTAAATGCCCTAACTGTGAATATAAAACAAACGACAAAAGGTATCTGAAACGACACATTTTGAAACATACTGTTAGCAAAGATTTTGTTTGTCGTACATGTAAGTATCGGACAAACAATAAGCACAGTTTTAAACAACACCGTTTAACACACAGAGTTTTCAAAGAAGTTAAATGCGATGATTGTGATTTTAAGGCAAGTAATACGTGGACTTTAAAACGTCATCTTTTAATACACAAGTCTTGTAAAGATTTTAAATGTGATTATTGTCAGTACGGTACCAATGATAAATGCAACTTTAACAGACACGTTTTAACGCATAAAGTTGGCAAAGTCGAACGACCAAAAGGTTGGTATAGAAGTATATGTCCCAAGCCATTGATTCTCAATCCCGATAGTTTACCCCCGTATGGCGTGGGATAATATATATAGGGGAAATGATGATTATAATAGTTTTTGAATTTGTTATCTGTAAAATAAGAGTGCTATTGTAATTCTGTTCTGGGAAATTTACTCTACGCTACAATTTATATAATAAATGGAAAGTTTGCGATCTTGATTTCTGTAAGAAAACACTTTTTATATAATAAATGGAAAGTTTACGATCTTGATTTCTGTAAGAAAACTCCAACAGTTTTAAATGGAGCAACTTGTATATTATTACGTTTAATTAAAATTATATACAGTGACGCTTTGGGTAACTTGAAAATTCACTTCCGCCATTTTATGGGGCACATCACGTGACCATATATACCGATAATGAATCACCTTACTAAAAACGAAGTGAAAAGCTACCATCAGTGCATCTTAACTAGTTCTTTTATACCGCAATTCGCATTTTACAGCCGCTGTGTATTTTATCGCCTTGGCACCGGGACCAATTTTCATCCCCGTTTTGGAAAAGAGCCCTAAACCTCGACAAAATCGTCCCCGAAGTTAACAAATTGCGCGAGTGTGTGAGTTTTGCACGCGGAGGATAAGGGCGCCGTGGAAGCCCAAGGGCTTACCTAACCCCCTAACTGTCGTTTTTCGAAAATTGGCCCACAGTTCGAAAAATTCGCTTTTTTGCGAATTTTAACACCATAGGTTTCCTCATCACCTTACCACCTCACACAGGAGGTACTTGTTCGATGCGTTACTCCGATATAGGGTGTACTCTTTTTGTTGTGACGTAATCGACAGCAATGGAAAACATTCAATCGATTCCAAGAGACTAAAATAAAAGAAACAAAAGTGTACACCCTGTATTTAAATTGGGGAAGTTCGCCGAATACTTCGGGAGATTGTGGCTGATTTATCTTCCTCATATTATTAAAATGTTTGCTAATTAGGATGTATGTATTTGTTTAATAATATGATAATTGCAGTAGCGATAGATAAATGGTTGTACATATACCGGGTGACCCAATAAGACTGTTCCTCGGCCATATCTCGGGAACCGTTCGTCGTTATTGCAAAATCAATTTGAACGGCCCACACCATCTTTGTTTTTGAAATAACCGAGTTTTTTTTAAGATGGCAGTTAAACCCTCTGGTGGTCATTTTTAGAACTTGAAAATATTTTCCAGCGATTCTTCATAACGTTTATTAGGTGCGTTCGGTAACTCGCTCAGATTATGCGTTTGTAGCGTTCGGTGATAAATCTATGACGTCACAAATAAATTCCTCCAAGTTAACTGTCATCTGATAAATCCGAACATCCTCGATTTCGTCGACGGCAAACGGGAAATTTTACCTCATTCTAACCTATAAGTTGTACGGTTTGTACCGGTACGAATAAAATCAAACGCCCTTTTCAGGCGATATTACAACTTCACACACATATTACAGACGGGCACCACACAAGTTAAAAAATAAACAACAAAACAAATGTTAGGTAATTAGGTTATAAAAATATCTAGGCGCCTTCGATTATTCTAAATCCAAATCGTTTTTTGTCACGTGACTGATATCTGAACTCTGCTCCGCAATGAATAAAGAATACGAAGGAGAACATCAACAATTTACGGGAGACCGCGATGGCTTTTGCAAATGGCGGGCAGTGGTTTCCTGTTCCAGTGGCGTACCTACCTTACAGTTGTAGGGTACAATTATAAAGAATTTTACACGAAAACAATCTAAACCCCATGTGTCTCTCCGCCTATGACTTTTGTTTAACTAACCTCAAAGTATTACCGATAAAAAAATTTGTAAATTTACATGTACTATATAAAAATAATATTGGTATCAATACTTACACATGAAATCTAATTCCCAAACTTTTATTTTTTCTTTATTCATTGCTGCTCCAATCGCAAATTGTAGTCAAACATTCAAAAAGACTGTCGCGCCTCTGACCCGTATCGCATACGCATGTTTCAGAAGTTAAAAACGGTGTCTCCATTTACGCCACCGGTATCGTAGCTTGAATTTTGAAATCGTCTCTGGGTAGCGCTTATATGATTGTGTTTTCGATGTTTGATTTAAGTCGTAACAAAATACAAAGACGGGACAACTTCACTCTCGCGGGGGAGTCATCTTGCTTTCTTTCCCACAAAATTAACGCACGAATAACAGCCGCGATAGACTAGTGCCGCCGTTTAGCGTTACCCTGTTTAATTATTGACGGAGGTAATTGCACTAGATACTCGTAACTGGAACGGCATTGTCCGTAAACAAAAGATTCAAGAACGCCGTGAGATGGAAGATGGGGGGGGATGCATCCGCGTTGGCGCCACTGCATTCCCAATTCCCAATTAATCCCACTTCTGAAATTTGTGTTAGCTATTTTCCACAATTAAACACTCAGATCATTTAATATTTTATTAAGATAAATCAAACAAAATTTACCCTACTCTCTCACCAACGCCAGTTTTCAAACCATCTCTGTCTAAACGCATCACAAAAATTCCAAAAACCATAGAATACAATAATCATAGAATAGTTAGGCGCAAACGCCATTACATATTGAAATATTTTGTCTTTGTTTCACAATCGCCTTTACAAACCTTGTGCTAAAAAAGGTGTCGTTCGAAACAAGTTTTTGTGCAAGTACCGTAATCACAATAATCATATTTAAAAATCGGATTGAGGCTTGTTTCAAAAGGTGTTGTTTTTAGTCAAATTTGTTGTTTAATGTGTTAAATGTTTCAAAAGTTTATTTTAAATAATTTGGGCGCATTTAATTGTGTCTTAAAGCGTGTTGTCTAAGACGGTCTTTTCTATTTGTCCTATAATCACAATTATCACATTTAAAATCTTTAGAACCCTTATGCTTCAAAAGGTGCCGTTTGAAGGTATATTTTAAGTTGGTCCCAAATTCGCAATGAGCGCATTTAAAATTTTTGGAAACTTTGTGTCTTAAAATGTGTCGTTTCAAATAATTTTTATTGTTCGTCACATAAACGCAATTAGCGCATTTAAAATATTTTGAAGCATGTGTCAAAACATGTTTTTTGAAGTTGTCTTTATAATTGGTTCCATAATTACATTTAGCGCAATTAAAATCCTTGGAAATTTTGTGTTTTAAAACGTGTTGTCTCAAATAGGCCTCATTGTTTGTCACATAATCGCAATTAACACATTTCAAATCTTTAGAAACATGTTTCAGAGCATGTTTCAAGAGGTGTTGTTTGAAATTAGATTTTATGTTTGTACCATAACGGCAATGATGACATTTAAAATCTTTAGAAACCTTATGATTCAAAAGGTGTTGGTCGAAGTAAGATTTTCTGTGTGTTGCATAATCACAAGTGGGGCATTTAAAATCTTTGGAAAGTTTGTGTTTTAAAATGTGTCTTTTTAAATAATTCTCAATATTTGTCACGTAATCGCAATCAGCACATTTAAAATTTTTTGAAGCATGTGTTAAACGGTGCCTTTCGAAGTGGGATTTATAATGGGTTTCAAAATTACAATTAGCGCATTTAAAATCTTTGGAAATTTTGTGTTTTAAAACGTGTTGTTTCAAATAGGTCTCATTATTTGTCACATAATCGCAATTGACACATTTCAAATCTTTGGAAACATGTTTTCGGGCATGTTTCAAGACGTGTTGTGTGAAATTGAATTTTAAGTTTGTTCCATAATCGCAAATGTCACATTTAAAATCTTTAGAAACATGTTTCTGGGCATGTTTCAAGAGGTGTTGTTTGAAGTTAAATTTTATGTTTGTCCCATAATCGCAATGATCACATTTAAAATCATGAGAAACCTTATGCTTCAAAAGGTGTCGGTCGAGGTAAGATTTTCTGTGTGTGCCGTAATCACAAGTGGGGCATTTAAAATCTTTCGAAAGTTTGTGTTTTAAACTGTGTCTTTTTAAATAATTCTCGATGTTTGTCACATAATCGCAATTAGCACATTTAAAATCTTTCAAAGTATGAGTTAAAAGGTGTCTTTGGAAGCGGTATTTATAATTGGTTCCAAAATTACAATTCCCACATTTAAACTTAATAGAATCTTTGTGCATTAAAGAGTGTTGTTTAAGGCGATCTTTCCTGTCTGTCTTATAATCACAACTCTTACATTTAAAGCCTTTAGAAACCTCATGCTTCAAAATGTGTTGTTTAAGTTGCAAATTACCATCTGTTGAGTGATTATCAGTTTGTTGCTGCGTGTTTCCATTATGCAACAATTCGGAATACTGTGTACCGAGGGAAATTTCATCCTTTATTGCAACCAAAGCAACGTTGCTGACAAAAACGGTTCCATCAAGAGAAGAATTTATTTCGTTTTCTTGTTCAAGTTCGATTTTAACAAGTGATGTGCCATCATCGTCGTCCATAGCAGCAACTAATGGTACTTATTTACAACACTCGTTTAGTTTATCAACAGTTTTGGTACTGTACAAACATCATAGTTTCAGATTGCAGTAGATACCATAGATAGTAGCAATCTTGCTTCGCAAGAGTTGATCAACTACAAGGAAGCAATTTGAGAAAAGCTATTCCTCTATAAGCTGGAATCTCACCAAGATATATTTTGTGAAAAAATCCAAGATCTGTTGCTTACATTCCAGTTGTATTATTAAGGAGTAAACACGTTTCCAGCGATTTCCCTTATTGTGTTTTCACTCGCAAAATAATTTCCTTTATAAAGAAATGACCCAATCACGCCATCTTATTTTCAACAACCTGAACTTAGCGACCAATGAATAAAGATTGGAATAAAGAATACGTCAACAATATACGTGCAACCGCAATGGCTTTTGCAAATGGCGGACAGTAGTTTCCTGCTCCAGTGGCGTACCTACCTTACAGTTGTAGAAGGATACAATTATAAAGAATTTTACACGAAAACAATCTAAACCCCCATGTGTCTACTCCGCCTATGACTTTTGTTTAACTAACCTTAAACTACATTCCGATAAAAAATTTGTAAATTTACATGTACTATATAAAAATAATATTGGTATCAATACTTACACATGAAATGTAATCCCCAAACTTTTATTTTTTTCCGTTTTGGCGCAACCACAAGCACAACAACTAACAATTATTTTATGTCACTGCAAAAACCACAACAAAAATTAGTCATAAGTGGCTTTTGCAAATGCTGCCACCATTATGAGAAAAAAATTTTTTGCTGGTGTCATTTACAAATCTCGGACAGGAGCACTCAAATAAAACGCTCAAAACCTTGAAATTTGCATGGTGTACATTAAAAGCAAAGCAAGTAAATACCAAAGATGCCGCGCTGCGCTCTCTCAAAAGCACACTGCCAAGGGAAAAAAGAGCACGACTGGAGAAAAACCTTGACATTGGATAAAAGGCAAATTAAATTAAATAAAAGCAAATTTGACGTTTGTATTGAGATGCCCCAACCTTGGCAACGTCCTGTGAATATGATTGTCGACACGAAGCACCCTATACATCATATTAGTGACACAAGCTGCCTAGCGAAATCTGGTGGGATTACAGAAAAGGGAAAGAGAGCGAAGATGAGACGGATGGAATTTTTGGGAAGACCATATGTGTTTACCATTTGTTTCAAGTCGGTTTGAAGCACTCGCAAAGATCACACTTTTTTTTATATTTGTGTTTTAAAATTCCCTTTATTACGTGTAGTATAACTACAAATGCCACATTTGAAATCTTTAGAAACTGTTTTAATAGATGTTGCATCAAATAGGTTTTACGATTTGCAGCATAATCACAATTATTGTTACTATCTTTAGTATCCTTATGCTTTACACAGTGAAATGTATTCTTTCGACCTGAATTAACTTAACTCTATTAAAAAATCTTTTAGAACCTTTAGGAAGTGTATCATCCAATGTCCAATTTAAACAGAAAATGAAGGGGTTATACGAAACAAATCAGAAATCGAAAGAAAGAAAATCTGCTGCATGACAATCTTCTACACTCTACAGTTTCATTATTATTATTAGTTTTCAGCCAATATTTTTATTATTTACATATCATACAATAATCACAAACCACACATTTAAAACCCTTAGAAGATGATCATTTCTTATTTGTGTGTTAAGGCATGTTTCCTCAAATTGTGTTTACGCTTTGTAGCGAAATCACAAATGCTACATTTAAAATCCTTCTTATCACTGTGCGTTACAGAATGTTGCCTTAAATTGCTTTTGCTATTTGTGGCATAACAACAGATGTCACATTTTAAATATTTATTAGCATTGTGTGTTAACAGATGTTGTTTCCAATCGTTTTTCCGATTTGTGGCATAATCACAAATGCCACATTCGAAATCCTTAGCTGCTTGGTGTGTTAATACATGTTGTATCAAATGGGTTTTACGATTTGCGGCATAATCACAATTGTTACATTTAAAATTTTTGGTATCCTTATGATTTAAAACGTGCCTTCTCAAATTTACTTTCCTACCCGATGTGTAATGACAAAGGTTACATTTAAAATTTACAGTAGAAGATTGAATATTGGACGACTGAGCATTTTGCCCATGGTAACTATCGGTATAATTTCGTGCAGCGATTGCAATGTCATTGTGTTCTTCCTTTACAGATGCCAAAGGATCGTTTCTTAGACAAATTTGTGTTTCGAGAGATAAGTTTATTTCTTCTTCGTGTTTCGGTTCAATTTTAATAAGTACCATGTGGTTATCCATCCCTGCAACTGTATTTTTACATATTTGAGCCCCCAATTCGTGCAAAGGTGCTTACTATAAATGAATGAAAGATCTAGGCATTAACACAGTGTGAAAATAAGCCGCTAAGAGCTACCAGTGTAATCGAAGTCATTACAATTGTGTTTTTAAAATGATGTCACTGTCTACATTTTGCGGGTAATTGCGGTTGGCGAATTAATTTTCAGGCATTGAAAACTGTTGAAAAGTTGTTTACGTTGTTTACAAATTCATAACCTAAAATGTCAAATGTGTATGCAAAACTCATACAGAGTGATCCAAAATAACAACAGAGAGTTTGAGAATGGAACTTAAAATTATTAGTGTTTTTACTTAAGGCATTGGCGATCATGGTTTTTTTATTGTACCCAAAATTGTCATGAAACCTTTATTTTCTCGAAATAGTCATGAAACTGTAGTGTACTTAACCCCCAGGTTCTACGCTAATTTCACACTACAAGAACAAATCAACCCGGCAACAATGGCCAACCGAATGACTGTTCCCTCCAATACTAAACAAGATCCCGCTTAAATTTGAAAAGTGACACGTGATCAAACATCTCCCTTACGTTAGTTGTAGACAACGCTTTGACCTGAGGCACAGTAGGGAAGGAACGTAAAATAAAACACTCAAATTGTGAAAAGTTTGTTTAATAATAATCGCAATTATTAAGATTGTGAAAGCTTGGAAATTTAAGTCGAAATAAATTACATTGCAAAAATAAACTTGAAAATGGTAGTTCACCGAATAAAAATAGAAATAGGCTGGGAAAAAAAAGAACTTACCAATAAAAAAACCAGCCGTCAAATTAATATCAAATTGTGTAGTAAAATTAATTGTTTGTAATGATGTGAATGCGTAACACGAAATTATAACATCATAAATAGTAGCATGTAGACTTCAAGAGGTAACAAAGACGTTAAAAACAAGTTTTGGGAATTATGGGTCAGGTAAGCAGGTACCAAGATTCTAAGAAAGGGTGAAATACACAGGATGTGACTCATCTTTGGTGCAATAAATTCCTTTTATTAAAAGCAAGATGGAAAATTACATGGCCTTGTAGGCAAATTTAACAAAAAACAAGACTATGTGGAAATTATTGAATCGCCACTCATTTATCGCACATAGATAGATAGAGTTTTGATTAGCGTAATCCCGCTCCTGCAAGATAGGTAACCCGCCTCTGGTTTCGAGGTTTCGAGCCGACAGTTGAAAGTCGAAGACACTCACGGAAATAGGTGTTGTAGCTCAATTTTGACTACTGTTTTTACCACCCCAGTGACTACTTCATTCACAGGGAAAATTGGTAGTTACAAACAACAAGTTAGTACATACCTACATTAAACGAATCGGTAATTTCCACATATTAAAATATACTGATAAAACCTATATGAATGTTACTTCAGGGACAAGACCAAGTAACCAACATCAATTAACATAAATTAAGCAAGCATTACACCAAAAACGTCAACAATTACAAACAATAGCATAACGGTATCATATATGTGATTATCCATCGCAGTTAAACCAAGTAAGTTTCAAAAACAAAGATTGAAACACACACAAAATATAAAATGCGGCATACAAAACACAAATACAATATAAAGAAAATAACAATAAACATTTATAGAGCGACGCGTTAACGACAGCCATTCAAGACAAGATGCCAAACATAACCCCCGTCCGTGATTTTTAGATGGCGCAGGCAGCTTTTTTCCACCTAGAAATTGAATAGTTGCCAACTCTAAAAAATGTGTGCATCGTCCTAAGTTGTATATACAAGGTGGAACCTCTCAGTGTTCATTTAATGAGCAAAATACAAGAGGTTAGGCGGAGCAAATCAAGACTTAAAAACCTGGAATAACACAAGAAGTAAATCAACTACGGAAACAAAATGCGGAAGAGAAAAGAACAGATACAAACGAAGAATCAGAACTGCCTTAGGTGCTTTGTCCACAGTATAAACGATTAATTGAATCATAAAAGGCAATGTCCACTCGATAATTTTCTCCCTCACGAATACACATAATAAAATAATATAAAATTATACAATTATGAGCGCAAATACGCACGGTCTCAAAGTGGATCTGCTTTTATGATCGCCCTGTACTTATGTATTCATCATTTTAACTTCTAGGTTATGTTTAATAGATAACAGACTCTAAAATTCCTGTCCCTAGTGATAAGAAGAGATCCTGTAGGTCGATGTATTTGAATATTTGTGGACATACGCTTTAAAAGTAGTTGTTACAGTTATGGAGTCCAGCATTGCTTTTATTAAAATTGAACCAGAACAAGAAGAAAAAATAAATTTGACCCTCGAAAGGAAAATGTTTATAAGTAATGATACTTTCGCAATAGTAAAAGAAGAACACAATATCAAGACCAGTACAGAATATTGTGGAGACGGATGCGATGCCAAAGAAATGCAGCGACAACAAGATTATTCGTCAAATGTTAAATCTTCGACTGTAAATTTGAAATGTAAAGTTTGTGATTACACGGCAGGTAACGAACACCACTTCAAAAGACACCTTTTGACACACGAAACTGCTAAAGACTTAAAATGTGCCAAGTGTGATTATGCCACAAACTTTAAAAGCTATTTAACAACACACTTTCGAACGCACAACGAATCTAAAGAGTTTAAATGTGAGATTTGTGATTACGCAACAAAGCGCAAAGAGAATTTGAAACAGCACATCTTAATACACAACGACACGAAAGATAGCAAATGTGACATTTGCGATTATGCTACGTATCGTAAATATGATTTGAAACGACATCTCTTAAGACATAATGCGTCTAAGGTTTTTAAATGTCATATTTGTGATCACACCACCAACCGCAAAGACAATTTGAAAGCACATCTCGTAACTCACACCGCTTCCCATCTTTTTAAATGCGCAAATTGCAATTATGCGACAAATGTTAAGAATGATTTGAAGAAACACGTCTTAAGGCACAGAACCTTTAAAGAATTGAAATGTGACATTTGCGATTACGCAACAAACTACAGAAGCTCTCTAAGATCGCATCTTCTAAAACACAACGGGTCCAAGTGTTTTAAATGTGACATTTGTGATTATGCAGCAAAGCGGAAAAGCTGTTTAAGATCACATTTTCTAAAACACAACGAATATAAATGTTTTAAATGTGACATTTGTGATTATGCGACAAACTATAAAAGCTCTTTAACGTCACATCTTCTAACGCACAATTAATCTACAGGGTTTTAATTGTGACATTTGTAATAGTGCCATGAGTAGTAAATGTAATGCATGTAACATCTACATCATGGTACATTTGGTGTATGTAACGCACATGGTATGTTCGTAATTTATACCTACATTTTACTACGTCGGCTCTATGATGTATGTACCTTCCTTACGTCCAAAGTATGTTAATTTAACAGTATATAACAATTTACTCGTACGTGGGACTGTATTTAACTGTTTTTGTCACTATGAAGAGTGGGGGCACATACAGTGTGTATATCTGTGGTGTAGGTACTGAAAAGTGATAAATATTTTACTGTGTGTAATGTAATAAAATAGTGCTATTAATTTAGTTTTATTTAAGGTGCTTCTGTGGCAGTTTATACTATTCTGTACTGTAATTTGTGTCGTGATTAATATTCCGGTTCATGTTAATTCTTATGTGTAAACTGCCAGCGCTTAAGGCACGTCCACACGATGCCACTTGCCAAGCAAGTAACATACCTACTTCCTTTTACAAAGGGGTGTAAGGTCCTAGAGGTTAATAGGCTACTCTTAACCTAAGGACCTATAAAACCTCATTTCTACACAACCCCTGTTCTTCAAGACAACTGGTGTATGTTGGGTTGCCTACTTTCAGGAAAGAAAGGATCGAGCTATAGTCATGTTATTTCAAGACCACTCACACTTGACAGTCAGATCAAGGTTAATGCATGTTCATAAGAAATGCACGACTAATTAACTGACCGATTCGTGAGCGGACCGAGACGTGAACGATAATGTGAATTGGCCTTAAAACTCAATATTTACAATTGTACTAAATTAATATGTAATGTTCCTAGGGGTCTATCAAGCCGACACTGAAAACGTTGACTTACCCTATACTTACCGTTGGCAACTCTGGCAAGAAATTTATTCATTGGCAAGAAACTACAAGCAGAGCCACCTACCTTTCAAATCGAAACGATGGACGTCTCGCGGCACTTTTGAATTTGGATGGCAGTCGGCTCGATATGGGTGGCACGAATGGACTCCTGCGTTGTGTAATCGGTTCTTTTATGTGGTGGGACGTGAGACATAATCGGGAAGGGAATTAAATAAAAGACAGGACTTTTGTGCGTAAGAAATGACATGAACACGCACACAACAAGACCATGCCAAGGAAACCTTCTACGGGACTAAAACCCAGGCATAGGCCACACAAATACATGAAATAAATCACCTGCAGCAATAAAGTGCAAGAGAAAATACACATAAATAAAACATCTCAAATTGTATGATAAAAATCAGATAATCAAATCCAATGCAATTAAACAAGTTTATAAAAACAAAATACACAAGACATCATAAATGCAGTGGAAAACATGATAAATCAATTCAATACAAAACACATCAAAATACCTGTACCATCAATTGAGATAACACAACTCGTAAAATAATAAATTGCATGTACATAGGAAACATGTAAATAGTGTGGCTCTACTCCAACTTTCACTAACATAATTTAATTTAACACAAAAAGTACATGTGAGAATGCCATCGGTCAATAGCATGTATTCGTGTGAAAATCGATTATCGCTCAAACAGAACATATTTTAAATAGAGGAAATGTTAATGAGAGGGCCCCCACTCGTATTGCTAAGATGTTAAAAACTACAATCCGCACGAGACGAGTAGGCAACAGATACAGCGAAAGATCGAACTGCATTAGGTACCTACTCAACGGAGACAGAATGCCCACTGGAACACACAAACCTCGAAACATCAAATAAAAGAGCACCCCTTCGTATAGCTAACGCACAAGAACTGCAGCGCGCCATGAATCGGAAAGTAACAGATACAGTGATACAGTGAACAATCAAACTGTATTAGGTACTTCCCACACGGAATACTTACGGGTCAATCGAACAGAGCAACATCGCACCGATAATCAACTCCTCGTGAATACAGAAATAAATACTTAATTAAACAAAATAATGGCATAATCATCTATACAGTATAACAAACACGATTCATCTAACGGTACCTACTCAAAGCAAAGGCATGGAGTACGCCATGATTCAGATATCGTAGTTTATGCAAAATCAGCAAAATGTAAATAATATCAAATTGGCAAGAAATTCAATGATTAAATAGCTAGTACAAGAAAGCATAAAATGGTTACTACCTGTAAATACACCTTCAAAACACCACCACTAAAAATAATCAAGAACAATAAAAAAAAAGGGAAAGCGTGTGCCTTTCGTCGACCTCGTCGCCATCTTCTTCTCATTCTCCCCTAGCATCTTTACGAAAATCCCCTAGTATTTGGCATCTGCGCAAAACGGTCGATTGGTTATATACAGAGCATATTATATTTTTGTTTCAGATGTAAACGTGTGTTGCCTAACCATCAGGGTGGATTATCAAAAAAATATAATACTGTTGAATGCGACCCAAGTAGGAAGCGGTGGCAGAACGGATCCTTGACCTGTGTTGTAGTGTTTATAACTAACTTTGAACGTAATCGTGCAAATTAGGTAAGTCTTTACGTTATCGCAAAATTAAAGCATGAGTCAGGGTATCTTCCAGGAGAGGTTGTTCAGTTGGAGCGGCAGCGTCTACCGAAATCTACGGAGATGGTAAGCTTAATTAGTAACGCGAATACTCTTAATTACGGGAATATAACTGGAAAGAGCGCGGTATTACAACCGACACTTTAATAAATGAACAGGTACTATCCGCAATCAATTTTCTTAAAGATCCTCTTATCCATGAGATTTTTCAGATTTTTTGGAATCTCCAAGTTGCCCAAATTTTGTGGACTATTCAAATTCTTTAAATTTTTCGCGGCATTCTGTAGATTCTCAAGATGGATTGGATTAGATTCTTCAGAATTAAGATTGTTCAGTTTCTTTGAATCCAATTCTTCAAATTTTTGCCAATTCCTGAAATTCTTTAGATCCTGCGTAGGCTTTAGTTTCTATTAGTTTTCCCATTTTATAAATTCTTATGGTTCTTCGGTATCTTCCGCTTCTTCGAATTGTTTTAGTGTTACGAATTCTTAAGACCACACAGTACGTAGCCAGGTGGCCTCGCCATATTCTTAAGCTTCAAGATCCTATTCGTCCTGGAGTTTTCAAGGGTCAAATCTAAGATGCGGACTTAGATTCTAACCGCAATATTGAATCTTCTGAAGATTCGGGCTGTCAAGGTTTGATCTTCGCGAGTCACACTTCAAGATCCAGGTCGTCTTTGAGTTTTCAAGTGTCAAATTCAAGATTCGGACTTCAAAATTCTAACTACAAGATTGGCGTTTCAAAGAGCCCAAGTATCAAGCATCAAGATTCGAGCTTCAAAGTGTCATCTTAACGAGCCACGTCAAGATTTAAGTGTCAAATTTAATATCCGAACTTTAAGATTCTAACTGCAAGATTGAAGCTTCGAGATCCAGGTCGTACTTGATTTTTCAAGTATCAAGATTCAAGTGTCAAATTTACGATTCGGGTTTTTAAAATTCTAACTGTAAGATCGAAGCTTAAAGGCTTGATCTTCATGACTCGCGATTCAAGAATCGCCTTTGACTTTTTAAGTGTCAAGATTCAAGTGTCAAATTTATGATTTGAACTTAAAAATTCTAACTGCGAGATTAAATCTTCAGTTCGCTTCTGACTTCTTAAGTGTCAAGATTCAAGTGTCAAACTTACGATTTGAACTTTAATATTTTAACAGCGAGATTAAATCGACAGTTCGCTTTTGATTTTTTAAGTGTCAAGATTCAAGTGTCAAATTGACGATTCGGGTTTTAAAATCCTAACTGTAAGATCGAAGGTTCAAGGCTTGATCTTCATGACTCACGATTCTTGAATCGGCATTGACTTTTTAAGTGTCAAGATTCAAGTGTCAAATTTATGATTTGAACTTAAAAATTCTAACTGCGAGATTAAATCTCCAGTTTGCTTCTGCCTTTTTAAGTGTCAAGAATCAAGTGTCAAATTTATGATTTGAACCTAAAAATTCTAACTGCGAGATTAAATCTTCAGTTCCTTCTGACTTTTTAAGTGTCAAGATTCAAGTGTCAAATTTACGACTTGAACTTTAAGATTTTAACTGCGAGATTAAATCTCCAGTTCGCTTTTGATTTTTTAAGTGTCAAGATTCAAGTGTCAAATTTACGATTCGGGTTTTAAAATTCTAACTGTAAGATCGAAGCTTCAAGGTTTGATCTTCCTGACTCACGATTCTTGAAACGCTTTTGATTTTTTAACTGTCAAGATTCAAGTGTCAAATTTAAGATTTGCCCTGCAAGATTAAATCTTCAAGGTTTGATCTTCGCAACTCGCGATTCAAGATCCAGCTCCCCTTGAGTTTTGAAGGGTCAGAATACAAGCGTCAAATTTAAGATTCGAACGTAAATATTCTAACTGCAAGATCGATTCATGTTTCAAAGTTTGGCGGGATGGGGAGAGAGGCGAGGGAGATGGTGAGTAAGAACGAGGAGGGAGGGAAGGAAGGGAATGATAAAAACAAGAGCAAGAAAATGTGAATCGTGGTAGACCCCCATAAGATGAATCGGTTATTTTCGGATATACGAAGCCTCATTTCGCAGATGCAGATTCATAATGCTGGCCCATCAATGTAAGTTGCGGGGAGAGGTTGTCTCAAAATACAACTTTAGCTTAAAAATACCGTATCCAAGACCTTAGATACCTTCCGGACTAATTAATAATATATTTCATGTACTTTATGTAAGAGACTTCGGAATGATATTTTTCACAAATAGGAAAGGAGAGTAGTTGTTTAGAAATCTATTTTCTAGTATTAGTGTACTTTAGGGATAGTCATCCACATTTTTATTCTACTGTCGGTTATTCGTATTCCTAAGCGCCTTGTTCAATCCAAAGATAAGAAATAAATCAAAGAAGTGCTATGTCGTTTGGGTTATGGTCATCGTCAGAAAATGTTCAGAAGAAGTTATACCAACTATTTGGTGATATCGTTGACGTAGATATCTATATTTTGATTACGTCATTATCTCAACAAGTTTGACGTTTTTTTTGGTGTTAAATGAAGCGCGCTTAATTAGCATGAATTTTAAGAGTGATTCCATATTTTCCGAAACCGACCGTCATTGACCGGGAACAAGGATCGACAATCTTCTGGTGGCGCTCGAGATGAATCGTACCGTTCCAATGCGACTACCGCACTGTCCTACCGACTATTGAAGATTCTTAAAGTATTTCAAATTGGTATGCAATCGATTTACGCGGTCTGCTGAAGTTCGCAACACTTGGGAGACAGTACATAGCGAGTTTAAATAATTTCATTTGTTTTAGCGGTCATGAACACGTGACCATGTGGCTCTAGTTCATAAGACACAACAGTTACCGATACGCTACCAGGCAGCGTATCGGTAACAGT